TATCAGTTAATGAAAAATCAAATATAAATTATAATCTATCTTAATAGTTAGGTTTATCTATTTAGAATCAGTGATATTGATATTATTAAAAATATATATTTTTTCTTTATTTATATAGTATGAAATCAATATAAATTTATGGCTAAGTTGATGGTTAAACTTACTTTATGAGTCAATGAATCAAAAAGAACAAAACTTACAAGTATGTAAATATAATTTTTTTAATATTTTATTCTAGAAATTATTCAATTGAATTGGCGATCAACTATATTATTACATATTCTCTAGATCTAAAATTTAGAACGTTAGCATTAAAACTCCTAAATTTTTATTATTTTTCATGAAAATTAAAGTCTGAAAACTTAAAGTGCAATATTAATCAATAAAAATTAAAAAAAAATATACAAAAATATGATTAAGAATTTTAATTTTTTTTTCTTTTCATAACAATTTATAGTATTATTTATAATGTTATTATATGTAATAATGTGGATTTTATATTAATAATTAAGATAAAGATCAAGCAAATCAAGGGGGAAAAATGCAGTATCAATCCCGGGTAAATAAATTTACTTGTATATAGCTATGGAGGATTGCAACCCTTTTCAACGAAAAAGCCAAATAACCACAAAGTGAGGTGCAAAGGAGGGAAGGGAGAGGGGAAGAGGAGGATAAAGAAGAAGAACAAAGGGAAGAAGGAGCAATATGGGCAGTAGCGGAAGAAAATTGATGGCATAATTGCCATAATCAGGTAAAAGTTTTATTTCTATGAAAGTAAAATTTGAAAAAAAGGAACATGATAGAGCAATGTTATTTGTGCTTAAAGTCTAATCTTCCTAATTAATAATTATATTAACAATTTTATTTACTTTATAATAGTACATAATTTGATCTATTGCGTGAAATTTTAATTATGTTTGAAAGATTCTTTGCTTGAAATTGGTATTATAGAAATTTTCTTTTCGATCGAAAGCTGCGCGTAGCGGTTATAGATATCTAGAAATCTAAGGAAGAACTACAACCTCATGGTTACTAAAATTGAAAAATGAGGAAAGTTTAGAATTAGTATAACAATGAATTCGTTGATGTAAAGGAAGATGTACAAAGACATATATCATACGGCGGAATAATTGTAAAGTTCCATTGTGTCAATTTGATAAAATTTCTTGTATAAACAAATTAAATTTAAGAAGAATGATTTAAATCTAGCTCTTTATGGGTTAGATAATCAATTTAATATTGAGGACAAGAGTTGGTAATTGAGTGTTCCACTTCTATTTATTAATATATCAAATGATTTTAAAATTTCTCTTAAATATTTTTTTTTCTACGAGGCATTTCATTTTTTTTTTTCTGACTTATACTTTGTTTTGCATTGATATTATTTTGGTTAAAATATATATATCAAAAATAAAGGATTCATATAGCCGACTTAACTAATTTGGGATTAAGGCTTAGTTATTAATATTGCTGTTTTATAACACTATCAAACCTCAGGTTTGAAGCTAAAATGAAATAAATTTTTATTATTTGTTTTTCAATTTTTTTTAGTTTTCTAGCATGGATAAATATTACTAATAATAATAATAATAAGTTGTAATATTGGAAAAACTAAGTTTTTAGTAAGATTTTTATTCAGAACTTGATAACTGGTAGAAGACTCAACCAGCACCTGATTTCATCAGCTATGTTTGGTGTTTTATCATATTAATTAGTAGCTGATTCATATTTGTATTACTTTGAACTTCATTGATCTGATAAAAATAATTGCTAATAAAATAATTTTTTTCAAATTATTTGTATCATATTATTTTGAAAATTTAATTAATATTTTATTACATAATACATTAAAATAAAAAATAACATATTCATCTTAAATTAAAAATATATATATTTATATATACATATATACATTACACATCATAATATCATAAATTAAAAAAAAATATAAAATATAAAAACAACTATACCTTTCATGGTAATTTTAGTAGCAACCGCTCCTTCCTCTTTTTTTTTTCTTTAACTTTTTAATCCTAGTTTTGTTTTGGAGCTGCTACTATTTATTAATAGATTTGTCTTTTTTTTATATTTTTTATTATTTTGTTTCTATATTTAAAGTTTTTTTGTCCATTTTTTGTGAGGGTTTAGCTACTAATTAAAATAATATGATATTTGACTTTATTTGGTTAGAAACTTTAGATTTTGATTTACAGTTATGGTTTTCGATCGATGGAATCTAGTATTGTGGCCTATTACTCCATTGATGCTACTGACGCATAGTAGCATAAACTCATTTATATTCATAATATGTTGCAAATTCTTAGAAAAATAATCTAGTTATAGAGATATAACTTAGATTGGAATGTTCCAATCTAAATCGAAATTCCAAACCAAATGTTAATTTGGAATGGAATTTTAGAATAAGGAATTTAAAATTGAATATAATTTTTAAAATATTGGTGGGTGGAAAATGGAATGGAAATAGAAATAAAATTCCATATTCCAATCTGATACCGAATTTTTATTTTATTATTCTTTAGTTTGTAATTATATGTTTTAAAAATAAAGTATTAAATTAAATATTAGAATAAAATATTTTTTTATTTTTAAGAAAACATTTATTTCTAAAACTATGTAATTTAATATAATATTTTAACCCTGACCCTAATTAGTAATTAATACATATTATGTGCTTGAATACTCATGTATACTTTTTATCTGATACCTTGACACTACAGAATATTTTATATTTTTATTAATTCTTCTACGTTTGATATTATATGTGGTTTAAAAAATAAAGATGATTAAATTAAATATTAGAATAAATATTTTTTTTTATCTTTTAAGAAAACATTATATTATCTATTAAAACTATGTAATTTAATATAGATATTTTAACACCTGACCCTAAATTAGTATAATTAAAATGACATATTATGTGCTTGAAATACTCATGGTAAATACTTTTTTTGGGCTGAACCATTTATGATTTAGTTATAAATAGTTTTACTTTTTATTAATATAGTTTGAAATATTTTAGTATTTGCATTGAGCTTATAGGTCATATCATACTATGTTCTTGTAGTATTTAAACACTTTTTAAATAGGATTTAGTGACTACATATATTGAGTATATCCTATATGAAATGGTGTTAATCTTTTGTTTGAATTTTATATTGATTAATTATTATTAATAAGCTGTTAATTTATATGAAACTGAATTATTACAATATTAAGGATGGAAGTTATACTGCACTCCTGATCTATAGAATATGTTAGGAGAATAAATTTTTAATTTCTTAAAAATATATGTGATATTAATGTAATTGATTTTTAAAATTTTAATTATGTCTTTTTAGTAAATGCATAATAGAAAATATGATGATTATTCCTTAATTAAATTTAAAATTTACCTCTTAACACTTTTTAATGGATTTAGTGACTACATATATTGATATATCCTAATATGAATGGTGTTATCTTTTGTTGATTTTATATTATTATTATTATTAATCAAGCTGTTAATTATATGAACTGAATTATTAAATATTAAGGATGAAGTATAACTCCTATCTATAAATATGTAAGATTAAATATTTTAATTTTTAAATATATGTGATATTAATTATTATTTTTAAAATTTTAATTATGTCTTTTTAGTATGCATATATGAAAATATGATGATTATTCCTTATTAAATTTTAAAATTTACATCTCAAAAAATGTCATAATATGTTAGATTTGTGTTTATGGTTAAGAAATTTGGAACTAATGAACTTCAAACCGAATTTTAATAGAATGATACGGAATAAAATTTTAAATTTCAAAAAATATTTGGAATAGCATGAAATGTAATTTCAAATTCTAAAATATTTTGGAGCGGAATTGGAATGAAGGTCATCTCATCCCATATTGTCCGAATTATACCTCTATCTACGTATAGAAGATCTATAAAAGTTATTATTTTGTTATTCAAATCAATTAACGTACTAATTGTTCCTATGAAGAGTTATATCTTTTGTCAATATCAACTCCAAGCAAAAGATCGAGTATTATATTTTTTAATTTTAATTTCATTGTTCAAAAGAATATGAATTATTTTAGTTTGCTAGAATATCAGCAAACTTTGTTAGCTACTAACAATAGAGTTTTATATCTGGTCTATAAGAGTATTTGTAATTTGTAATAATATTATTAATGAATTATATTTCTTAAAAAATAACCGCTATCAAAATTTTACCAAACACAAATGGTAATCGGCTAACTTTTATCAACCTATAAGTTACCAACTATCAGTCATCACTGTTAGCTACTAACCGATATGAATCGCTAAATAAAATGACCCTAAATAAAATTTAATAAAAAATGTTAAATTTAAAAGAATTATAAGAAAATAGAAAATAAATTGAAACGGACCATGGTTGTGCCTACCTACATATGTGGGACAGGGCAAGTGAATGTTGCTAGATATGACCATAGTTTCAGAACTGTCAGTTTCGATTTCAATTACAAAAGAGATGAAATTGGAACAGAATCACTTTTCTATGGTTTCTAAGACAATTTTATAACAATTAAGAACCGGCGATTTCAGTTTTATTTGACTTTTTTAAAATTTGTATCTTGAATAAATAATTATAATAAATATTACAATCGAAAAAAATTAAACCAATTTAATAAAATTTTTAAAATTTATTTTAAAAAATATAATAAAAAAAAATATTGGTTTCCTTCGAGAACATATTTTTCACGGTTTTAGACCAAAATCGCCTGTTTCAATTTTAAAAAATAAAAAACCCAAACCGAACCAAAATAGTTTCGGTTATGATTTGAAATCAAAACTGTTGACTATAGTTTAGTAACGGTTTTGACCAGTCCGGTTTCGATTCGGCTCCGATTTGAAATCGAACCGTGTCATCATTGACACAACCCCTGCAAATCATGTGCACTGCACGTGCTCTAGGCTTTAAGGAGGGTTTTACGTTTACCTTTTCTCCAAGAACACCCAGGGTACTGCAAATAGCAAACCCGTCGTCTATGCCACCAAATTACACAAAATCCACTTTCATTCCTTCCTCACATACAGCCTCCATAACGCCCTGATAATCGAATTTTCAAAACCATGAATTTCAAACCGTTATCTTCCAAAACTCGCCTCTTACTCTCTGCATCTCCTTTATCTTCAGTATGTCCCTACTCAATGCTCGTCTCTTACTTCTGTACGTCTTCTCCGGCTACTCCTTCCCGCTCCCACTCCCTCCGGCGCCATTATGAAGAGGAGTCGAAAAATGTCAGGGTTTCTGTTTGGTGGGATTTTGAGAACTGTCATTTGCCTGCTGATGTTAATGTTTTTAAAGTAGCTCACTCGATTACTGCAGCAGTTAGGGCAAGTGGGATTAAAGGCCCCATCCAAATTACAGCTTTTGGGGATGTGCTACACCTTTCAAAGGCTAACCAGGAGGCACTTTCTATGAGTGGGATCAATCTTTCTCATATTCCTGGAGGTTTGTTCTCCTTTTATTTTATTTCTATTATGTCTAATTTTCTATAATGTGAACTGCTATAACATTAATTGTTAAGGATTGTTAATTAGAAATGATTTTTCAGTTAGTGAATCAATTTAATGAATGCTAATTTGCTGGATTTTTGGTATGGTAGATGAAGTGAAAGCAAAAAACTTGCGTTAGTGCGACGTGGTTCGTGGTGTTGAATGTTAATTATCAGATGTTTGGAATAAAGTGGTTGAAATTGCTCAAATGATGTATTTATAAAAAAATGGTTTTAATATCCATCTGTGGGATGGAATGCTAACTAGAATTGTTTCAATCACATATTTATTTAGTTTTTGATGTATTTTAGGATCATTCAAAATTTGACTGGGACTTGGATTATAAATTTTTAATTGTTTGTCATTTATTGTAAGGTTTTCTGGTGGGTAAATAAAATACTTAGTCTCGTTTTCATATGAGAAATTGTCCTTCGGTTAGATTCTTTTCACCCTTGAACTTGCCAAATTGGGCAATATCATCTGTGAGCTTTTTTTTTTTTTTTTTTTTTTTTTGTTGTTAATATCTCATTACGTTGTGGGAATGGATTATATGGCGATAACGTAGAGATTCAGTTGGGGTTTTCAATCATTAATTGCTACTCTCAGATTTTTTTCTGATTGTATTTTTGTTACGAATCATATCAAAAATTTGACTGGGACTTGGATATAAATTTTTATATGTGTTGCTTCACGTCTTGATTGTATGGCGCTGTTTAGAATTCGATTGTATCTAGTGTGTCGGGTAACGCGGGTCGGCTTCATAGCTCAAACATCACTTAGTCTCCTTGGGGTGAGGATTTTAGTTTTATCCAATGATGATAGCTACATTAGTCAGCTTGCGGCGGAGATTAAGAATATTCTTGCACTTCACAGCCACGCACTCTGAGGAGCTGTGCCGATATTGTTGTGGCAAAGTAATAATGGTCGTCTGTACGCTCTCTTTATTATCTTTTGGTGTGTTATTTATATGTCTCTTTGGGATGAGCACATAGCACTCACTCGTGAATTTCATGTATCTATGCTTGTTGTTTCTATTTTAGCTCATAACACTTGTATCACTAGTTTGTTGTGTTGGTTATTATCTCTTTCACGCATTGGATTCTATACACAGTTGGTTTAACTGTCCTTGGCATCATGTGACTTGCTAGCGAGATTTAAGTGGACTTCTGCATTTGGTCTATCCCCAAGTTGTTGTGCTGTCCTGTTCTCGAGTTGATTTTCATCAGCACTTCTATAACACATACTTGAGAATAATTCACTCTTTCTGGACAACGACTGTGGCTGGTCATGCACGACTGAGAGATTGGAGTAGCACGAGGGTCAGGAGGTAGACCGCAGATGTGTTTTAGAGGGACGCACGGGCTTATATTACAGATTACTTCTCCAGGTGGCTGATTATGAGAGAGAAGACAGATGCGAGGAGCAGTGTGTTAGATGTTACTTTGTACTATATGTGGCCAGAAGTATACCTCGCAGCGCCTGATCAGAAGTGCTGCTTTTGAGATGTAGTAGATGATGAGTACGGACGCACGAGAGGAAGAGAGCTTTTTACATATTCCCGCAGGCGGATTTCATGTACGCTGGCCACACGTGCTCGCTCTCTAGAGAGCAGCTGCTGGTCTTATAGTAGGAGCAGAGAGCTTTTTACAATATGCTGGCATCCGGATCAGCCAGAGCGTGTGTTGAGAGAGTATCGGAAGTAGTATGAGATGAGCAGACGGAGAGAGAGAGCATGAAGATGAGGAAGGCAACTCACATTCTCTAACTATCATACTGAAAGATTTGTCTTGGTTTTGGAGGTAGTGGATATTTGAACGGCCGACCCTCGCGGAGCCTTTATAATCGGATACGCTCGTTTAATATATACACGGTTCATCTTTGATGTTTTTCCGAGGCCATTGAGTAAGATCATGTTAGATGGAATAGGGTCGAGAAGTTACGCCGCTGCCCAGTAAGTTCCTACCTTATGAGATCTCAGGAGGGAGACACATTTTGATCAGCGGCAGACTAATACGTTTTTGATATTGACTAGATTAGTTTCGATGAACAGTAAGGAATTGACAATGATAGGATACATCAAGGATTACTTATCGATTAGGTATATGAGAACATAGATAAAGAGTTTTCTACAGTATCAGAATCGAACCACAAATTGAACAACATGAATAGGTCCAAAGATTCATGTTGTTTCATTGGAATTGGGGAAGAAGGGAGGAGAACGGTAGCAGACATCGAAAGGATTAATTTCTTATTTCCTTGTTATCAAGTGAATTCGTCATCATATGACTTACGCGGTCAACTAATGCATAAAGTTCGCCAGCTATATAGGAAATATAATACCGAAAGCCCTTGAGACTTTGATCTTAAGAGATAAGCTTCAATAGGTTCCACTGAATATATGTAGTTTTTCACCAATTACAAATACCAGTATACGTATAGTAGGCGCCTCCTCGCACTGCACAACAAAGCATCGGCTTCGAGTTATATATGATATACGGTAGATAATATAGATGCAATGAGCGATAGCTTCATGGAAATGGTATATGGATCTTCTTATGTAGTGGTCAGCCCTTCTAGAAAGCCTTCGCCAGAAGCGACTAGCTCGCTTCTGAGCTCTTACTTTAAGTATAAGAGACGGTACTAGTCTTTCCAATGCCCTCTTCTTGTCAACGAACGCTAATAGAGAATAAGGGAGAGATATATATATAGATCACACGTTGAGCTTGGTGTGGCCGACTTCTGCCTGCTGAATATATAGTACGTGACAGCGTTTTCAAAATCCTCATACAGTCTGATTAGATATGTCCATGAGTGAAACATATGCCGTATAGTTATCTGTTTAATTTGGATTCCGAAGGAATGAGCGACCGGACCGATCTAATAAAATCTTTATCTGAGGAGCGGTCGACCGAAGCCTCCCTCAATAAGATGATACTCCAGACGCTACTTCTCATCAGAAAGAACAACTTTGTTCTATGTTGATTTTTTTGGCGGGTTACGGTTTAGGTAAGAGAGACAAAGAGAGATGCTACTAACTCAAATAAAAAGGTCATAGTAATTTAGTTAGAATGCCATGTCATTCACATTGGCTACTCTTGACAAGGTAAAGAAGAGAGAGGTTTAATCCATATGGTGTCTGAAAACACTTGATTGTCGCTTTGGTGGATAATAATACAAATAAGTACGCCATAGCCCTGGGCTCCCCACGGTTCCGGTCCCGCCTTACGGGACTACAGAAGGTAGGATCGGCACGCCGATGCAGTTTGGGGTTGGTGCAGGTACGATGCTGTCACGGTGTCGATATATGGGGCAGGAGGTGCGAGTCTTCAGGATGTGTTTCATACAATAAGAGGGTAATGTCCAGTCGTTGATTGTTGGCTGACTTTTCACTCCTTATTTCGATTGCCTTTCTAGAGCTATTACGACACTGCACTCAATGGTTTTCTTAATGAGTCTTATGGTCTTATTCTTAATTGGCGCCAATTGATATCTGCAAACAGTTGTCATACTGAATATTAATCGTCCATAGCAGAGTAGAATGTTTAAAGTATCATACATGGATCATGATCTATGAAAAATTTCATTGCGATAATAGTCCATAGTGGTTATTCGTTATTTTATTGTGCACAAATTTTCTGGCTATGCAGGATCGTGTGTGAGGCCCGTTGTCGGCGAGGCATCCGTTACGGATATCAACATTACCACACGAGGGACGGCGTAGCTGGAGAGAGCTGCTGTGTCCGCGTACTCGTCGCTGCTCTCTTCTGCGAGTGTTGTGGGCCTTGGTTGGGGGCTTCGGAAGTAGATTACTAGGCGGGACAGCTTTATCTGATTGGCAGGCCAGATGGTCATATCCAGTAGTGTATGAGCGGGAGTGCTGACATGGCAGTATATTATACCCTCCACCGGCACCTAAACGTATCGAGCCCACACCACGTGAGAGCACAGCATCACCACCAAGCGATGGACGAGCCCTCAATGAGGGAGTGAGAGCGAGCACCAAAGAGCGATCTTTCAGAAGGAGTGGCGGTCCGATCTTATCTGAACTGCGAAGGAATAAACTGAACTAAGCCGTGCAATAGGGGCCCATCTCCTCACTTCCAACGGGACAGGCCACAAGTCTTTTGTTTATAAGGATAGAATTGGGTGTCGATCGGCTCAGGGATGGAGACTACGTGGGATATCAACTGCGGAGCAACAGAAGTTCGGAGCATGCGACGAATTGCAAGCCCGATTTAATTGCATAGATGTCGGGCAGAGGAAAGGGCTGGTTAGGTGATTGGCCTGACGTTTTTGCTTCGCTTGAGAATCGATCATGGAGCTCGCTTGCGAATATCGGCATAATTTGGGAGATCGTGCGTGGGCAGCTGAGTATGACTACGAGGATAGATAACAGAAATAGGGTGTCGGGTACGCGCGCACAGCTTTATGATACGGGAGCCTTATTCTCTAATAGAATAGGTCGTCAGCTGAATAGGAGCGTGGGCCGAAGTGCTGGACTGACATAGAGTACCTTTTTAGCTTTCAGTTCGATAACAGGCTCTATGTGAAACTAACCATGGCTATATATACCATAGTATTACGCAAATCAAGATGAGAACCGGGACGATACGGTCAGAGGCGTCCGCAGACTCGCGGACCTACATATATGGAAGAGAGTTCCCCGTCCACATGCAGTGCCAGCAGCTAACAGTACAAGATATCTATCCGCTAGGATATACACAGTAAGTCCAATCTTATGAAATCGTGGCGCTGGAGGAATGGACTTATGTACATGAACGTTCTCGAGAGAGCGAGGAACACAGGAACTCTCTAGCGCATGCGACTCGGATGGATAGAGGCGTCATAGCTCATCATGTCACCATTTTGTATGAGACACCCCAGTCGCCTCCATCGAAGGGTGGCTTTGTCAGAACCAAGCTTCTCACCCACCCTTAAAGAGCTGAGAATGCTCCACCACCAAATGCCTTCCTTGGGGCATTGGAGGCTAAACAGAGACACGCAACATCTGAGTAGTTCGGACTCCACACTCTACAGGAGCGGATATTGCACGTGTGCGGATGGAGCTGGGAGCCCACCTAGACTTCACTCTGCGCCGGCTTAGCCTTGCCCAAAGAGCTATAAAGGCGGCACATGAAAAGAGAAGAGCACCAGCACGTCTTCAGAGGCTTTGCTTGGGTGGGCCGCTTGGTACAATTCATCAGACAATGATATTGAACAAGACGAAAGTTGCCAGTTCTCGCGCCTTGATCCGGAGAGGAGTCACAGGTAAGCGCCCTCGGAGCATGTGAGAGCCACATGCTACAGGAAACTTGCTATTCTGAGTGAGAGAGAGAGAGAGAGAGAGAGAGAGAGAGATGAAGATGAGGAAGAAGATCACATTCTACCTATATACTGAAGATTTGTCTTGGTATCTTGGAAAGGCACCAAAAACAAAGGTTTGCAATGAAGATGAGGAAGAAGATCACATTCTACCTATATACTGAAGATTTGTCTTGGTATCTTGGAAAGGCATTTTGGTGTGGCATTCGTTTTCATTTTGCTAGATATCATTCAATGTTTGGCATTGGCAAGTAACTTTATTAGAATGCCATTATTCATTACTCTTGGTAAGAAGAAGGGTTTTCTGGTCTGAAAAACTTGATGCTTTTGTGGATATTAATCAATATAATGACTTGGCTGATTCCTTTTTTCAATTTAGTTTTCTACTTCATTTTCTGCCATTGAATATCTGCAAAATTGTCATATGAAATATTAATTCCATAAGAGAGAATGTTTTAAAGTATCTCCATATGTCTTAAAATTCAATTGCATAATGTCCATTGTTATCTTATTTATTGTGCCAATTTTCTGCTATGCAGGAGGCAAAAATAGTACTGATTGGTCCCTTCTTGTAGATCTAATGTATTGGGTTTCCCAAAATCCACCACCTGTCCACCTTTTTCTAATTTCTGGTGATAGGGACTTTGCTAGTGTCTTGCATCGACTAAGGATGAACAATTACAATATATTGCTTGCAACCAGTGACTCTGCTCCTAGTGTTCTCTGCAGTGCAGCAAGTATCATGTGGCGCTGGAATGCTTTGTTGAAAGGGGAAAACCTAACTGGCAAGTTTCTTAACCAACCCCCTGATGGTCCTTATGGTTCTTGGTACGGGCTTTATAAGGTGCCTCTTGAAGATCCCTTCTCTTTTTATGAGCAACCATGTTCACAAGTTGAGGAATTGACGGATGTTATTCCAGAGACAATTCCAAAAGCACTTATTAAAGGGATTCGTGATATACTGGGCTTGTACCCTGAAGGAATCTCAATTGGTGATCTTCGTTCTGAATTGAAAAAGAATAACGTGAGCCTTGGTAAAGACTTTTATGGATATAAAAAGTTCTCCAGTTTTCTCTTGTCTATGCCAGATATTTTGAAAGTTCGGTACATTGGTGATGGGCAGTATGTTATCCGTGCAGTTGCAGCAAAGCCGGAGCCATTGGACCGCAATCCTTCCTTATGTACAGTTCCTGTTACCAGTAATAGTAACCGACAATCTAGTAGGCCTTTAAAGCCAAATGGTAAGGACATATCTACTTCTGGGGCTGTGGACAGGAAATCTATAATGCCTGTGTCACCTGAAATAAGTACAGAACGATCTGCAAGAAAAGTGCAACAATCGACTCCTATTGAGAAGTCTGAAATGGATATTGAACAGCCTCCAAAAGATATTGAAGCATGTAGGCCTTTAAATTCATATGGTGAGGACATATCTATTTCTGGATCTGTGGATAGGAAATCAATAATGCCTGCATCTCTTGAACTAAGTAGAGAAGAACCGACAGGAAAAGTGCAACAATCCCCTCCTTTTGTTCAGAAATCTGAAATGGATATTGAGCAGCCTCCAAAAGAAATTGAAGAAGCTCCTTCAATTAGTGAAAAGGTTGTGGAAGTGGCTAATGTTCAGGGAGCTGAAGATAATCTGCAGCCTTCGAAGGAACAAGATTCCAAATCTGAAGTCGGTTTTTTTAAAAAAATCTGGAGAAGATGGTTGCGGAGTAATGATGACAGTTCCAGGATAAAGGGTCATGACATTCCAAAAGAATATCATAGTTCTGGGGATAATTCTGTGAATGAAAGTGAGAATTCTATCCAAAAATCTGGCACTCTGGGTGATAGCCTCGAAAAGAAAGAAGAGAAAAAAATTCTGAAATCAGCAAATCAGGAGAATGGTCAAGTAACTCCAGCATCAAGTTCTTCATCCAGTAGTGATTCAACTCTGGCGAAAGAAACCAGTTTCAATTTTGAACCATATAGTGAAAAATCTGGGAAAACTGCTGGTTTACTTAACCTTATTAGGACATGGTGGAAATTTGGGAGAAATACTCCAGACTCTAATTCATCAATTGATCATCCTGGTGGAGAACTCGAGCAGACAAACAGTTATTCTGTAAAGCATCAAATTTTTTATGAAGATTCTTTTTGGAAAGACTTGGAATCCTTTTTTAACTCTCAAAGGGGATCAATTCTTGTATCACAATCAAAGACCAGGTTCCTGAACTTTACTGCATTTAAAGTTTTTACTAATGCATTTTTTGTGTCCATTTGTGCGTGTGTAGTTTGATTAATAATCTGCTATCCTGCCTGTTCCTTTCTTACAATTATATAGGTTGTCCTCTTTCGACTTTGTATCACCAACAAAGTGATGCGATCAAAATCAAAATCCAGAGGGCATGATTCAGTCTGAAGAATTAGAAGTATATGAAAAACTTTGTCCTGCTTTCGAGAAATAACATGATTTTTGAATTAGCTTCAAGCATCATAATTTCCAAATTTTAAGGCTAAAAACTACCAGGAATATTCTTTATTTTCTCATTTTCTCTGAGTTTTATTTGGAGCAAGTTCTAGGTCTATGTTGTAACTTGTGGCATTTTTCTTATACAATCCTTAAAATTTGTGCAATTTTTGTGTGCTGTAAGTCGTACAACAATACAAACTTGCAAGATTTGCTAATTACAATCCTTGATAGTTTAATCATCCAGTGATTCTGGTGTATACAAAAGATTAATTCATGGAATTATCTAGTATAAAAATGAGGCGCATGTGTTATTTCTTCCCACATTATCTTTTGTGTAGTAAACATCACTTCATGGCTAAAGAGAGGGGTCTGCTAGTAAATTTTATTCTTTTCCTACTATAACAAAATGCTTGAACTGTTGGTGCCTTCTGCGTTCTGTCAAGGACAATTGGTATCATCAAACAAATCTCAGGAAAAGTTGTGCATGATTTTGTTGATGTTGTAAGTAAGTCAACATTCAGTTCAGAGAATTCAAAGTGCTGAATTTTGAGCTCAGGAGGACTTAACAAGACTAGTCATTTGACCTAAATTAAGTTCACAAGTCAATATGCAGTGTTTTTAGGCAAAATTTTGATTTTGCATGAGATTGGATTGGTGATAGAATTGCAAAAACTAAAAGTAGCTTAATGAAATTGCCAAAATCAGAAGTCTGTGACAGAACAGCAAACAATGCTAAAGTTCCAAATTTTTTTTTTTTTTTTTTTTTTTTTTTTTTTTTTTTTTTTTTTTTTTTTTTTTTTTTTTTTTTTTTGTCATAGACCTTTTTGTTTTGTATGTTTTTTTTTTTTTTTTTTTTTTTTTTTTTTTTTTTTTTTTGTCATTAGACCTTTTTGTTTTGTATGTTTTGTTTGCCTATATTAACTCCATGTGCTGAAAAGTATGGCTGATATTTTAGGATATAATGCATCTGAGAGAATTCCATATGCAGTGCAAGACAAAGTGGTTGGTGGAAGGCTATAGTAGAATTAAATTCACGAGTTTAAGGGATTGACTATACAATCTTTAAGTTTGAATACCACATTGCAAAAATGCTAAAGTTCAAGGACTAATTTTTCGAGTATTCTTAAACTTTTAAACAAGTTGGATGTTCTTTACCATGTTTTAATTTTGATCTGAAATTTCTTAGAGGCAAATTTCATATGCACTAAGCTTAAACATTGCCTTACTGAATGTTGATTATGGGACAATCTTTGACCAGCTATGATGTCATAGTATTGAGGCCTGGCAAATAGAGTCTGTAAAAGTAAGCAAGATGAATTGAAGCCTTTTAAAAAGTATATCAGAGCTGTCAAAGAGGATTCATGACTAGGCATATTAAAGAAACATTCAAATAAGCCCGGTGGGCAAGATTTCAAGTTTGTCATTTTCAGCCCTGTTTTCAGCAATTTCCATCTACTATTATTTTGATTTTTTTTACTAATTTAGTAAGCTCTAAAATTTCAAAGTTGAGATATAACTTGATGAATTCTGATATGAAGGAAATGTTAACAGCAGGCTATTCTCTATGTTAATATTTCCTATATTTGTGATCTTTCAGAGAACAGATGGCAAGAAATCTTCAAAAAGATGGGCCTTCGCCTCTTAAATCACTTAATGAAACTGATGCCCTTCGATTGGTTGATATCTTAATATCAGAGAAGAAATGGGTGGAAGAATATCCCTCTGAGGCTTCACCCTTCAAGGTCACTCTGTGCATTGAAAAGAACACTTCCACAAGTGATTCACATGCTTCAAATGGATTGGGATCTATTTCATTAAGCACTCCATTACAATCTAAACCGAATAGGCAAGCAGAAGGTGATGGAGATGGAAGTGTTGGAAAGGACAGTTCCTCCAGCAATTCAAAGGCTTCTAATGGATTGAGAACTATTTTTTTGCGCACTGCATTACAATCTAAACCAAAGAGGCTTGCAGAAGGTGATGGAAACGGAAGAACTGTGAGAATTCAGAATATTTCTCATGCTGGAGTTTCTCAGCCAGTTAGCTATAAAAAACCTCTGGAAAGGTCTAGAGGTAAGACATTAAGGGACTGTCAAAAGCTTGTGCAGGAGATATTGAAGGATTATCCAGAAGGGTATAATATTGTGGCCTTCAGAAAACTATTCTTTGAGAGGTATGGATATCATCTTGATAGTCAAAAGTTCGGTTTCGGAAAACTGGCATCCTTGCTACAGATAATGCCTGGGGTGGAAATCGAGTCTACTTATATGATTCCTTCCAATAAAGTCCTTAAGTGTTCCAGTCAGGATACTGCTCTTTCTGATATCCAAGAAAGTATTACGGTTCATACTTCAGCAACTTTAGGTAGTGAGATAGCTAATGCATCAAATGATGATGAATTGGATTCTGCCTGGGAGGAACTAGGTCCTGTTGACAACACAGTTTCCAGCAGGAAGGAACCAGAAGAAAAATGCACTTTCCCCCATTATGAGTCTTCCCTCTCTGATGATAATTTTTCAGATTCAGAAGGAGAGCCCTCAGCTTTAACTCGGACAGAAGGGCTAGCAAAATCTGGAATGAACAATGAAGATAGCTCGTTACTCCAAATTCTTGATTCATGGTATGGCAAGACGGAAGGTGACCATGGCAAGGACGAGCCAGAGAATGAGCAAGGCATGGTTGATTATTCCAAAAATAATTTACATCTATCTGAATCATCTGGACTAGGTACTAAAACTAAAACTTCAATAGGCTATGGCCAAAAGCAAAGAACTCAAAAGAGCTATTCTTTTGTTGCAGACCCTGATAGTAACCCAGACAAACTAGTTGATGGCATAATGACTACCTTGAAGAAGTCAGGTGAGTCAAGAATGCAAAGCTGATGGGCCTTAAATCCCAAGGATTTATAAATTAAGAAGAGAGAGAGAGAGAGTGTGTGTGTGTGTTAAGAAAGGTAAAATTCAATTAATTTGTTTAATTTGTCAGATAATTTTAGACATATATTTAAATTGCTGCAGCATTAGTTTATTCCTATTTTAGAATAATGCTGATTCTGTCAAGTTTAGGAGAACGCGACTTGATGGTGGTGCTAGGCTGCTATCAAGACGATTGAAATTATTGGTACTAGATATAAGAGAAATTCTACACGTCTTTGGTTGTATATTCTAGTTGCATTTGCCAATGTTGTCAGAACGGACTGACAACCGAGCTGGTGCCATGACTATATCAAGATTGAACCGAGTTGGATTAATTCAACTGGATTTTTTTAAAAAAATTTTTAATCTATATATTTTAATTGCAACATAAATTATTTTCCAATAGTTAATATATATTTATTTTCATCAAATTGTTATCCTATGTAACAAAATAGTATACGTAAATATAAAAGTTTTAACTAATAATTTTCAAACTTAAAACCAAATACTAATTAGACGTTATAAATTCAAGTAACATTATTTTATCCAAATTGAAAGTTCAAAAATTTAAGTTCCTTGAATACCAAGGATAGCAAATACAAATAAAAATAACAACACTTTTTTAAATGAACTTGGTTTTTTCTTGTGGTCTAATCCGGTTTTACAAAAATAAATCCTTTTTTTTTTTTCAAAAAAATTGAGTCAATATTATAATTGAATCGGACAACCAATCGGTTTTTGATTTAACCGGTCCGGCTGGTTTGGTCCAATTCCAACAACATGGCATTTGCACATAATGCACATAGAATGGGAGCAGTAACTATGTTGTTACGTATAATGACTTGGACCAATTTATGCATGCCTTTACAGTATCTTAACTCTATTCCCTTGTGGGTGCTAAACTAGAGATATTACAAAACCAAATTTTGATTATCAAAATGCTTGCCAATATCAATCAAAATGATTTTTGTTTAGACAAGATCCTGTTTCGCAATATCTTTTTGAGCCAGGGTGTAGTATTTTGATTCTAGTCAAAATACAATCTCTGTTATTTATTTATATTGTTTCGTGGTATAATTTTTAGGGAAAATAATAATCACGTCTCTAAGTTTTAGTCTAATTAAAACTTGAGGACTTCAGTTTTCAAAAATCAATTTCAAAATCCCTAAATTTTAATTCCGTAAACAAATACATCATTCGTTAATTTTAGTCATTTAAGTTAGTCAAACGAGAAAGAAAAAAATTAAATTTCAAAAAACACAAAAATTAAATTTCAAAAAACACCGTAAGTGCAGCCAGCTCCACCTACCTCTTATAAACCCTAGCCCTCTTCATTCTTGGTAAGCATTGCCAACTCGTTTGGGTTTTGTCATCGTTTCGAAAAAGTTGCAGAGATGATTCTAATTTACTGCTGTTTAAAGCTTTTGCGGTTGCTTCACTGCATCAGTTTCACTGCCTCAACTTCCTTTGATATGCTTAAAGCTTTCTGCATCCACAATGTATTGATTGGTGAATACACGAATTTATATTTATAGGAGGATGCAAAAGGAAGGGATTGAAGAAGATGAGATTGCGATTATAGAGTTAATTCAGGTTTGTGGTTCTATTGAAGATTCAAGATTGAATCTTTCAATACATGGGTATATGATTAGGTGAGGAATAGGCATGGATGATGTCCTCCTTCATACTAGCCATGGATATGCATGCTAAGGATGGGCAATTAGAGCTTGCTTCACTTATCTTTTAAGAAGATGAAATGCATTAATTTTTGGCTTCGCTCAAAATGGTTTTGTAGAGAAGGCAAACGCATTGTTGGTTGAGATATAGAGATTTGGATTTACACTAGATTCTATTTCTCTTATACAAAGAATTTCATGAATTTTGCTTGATTATTGATGAGATTGGTAAATGATATGTCTGGCAGTTCCTTTTTATTTTTAGGATTAAGAGAAATGGGAAGAGAAAGAAGAAGAACCACAAGCACATATGAGGATATTTTTGTACTTGCATATCATATTAATGGTTAAAAGTGGGTATTTTGGATGGAAGGACATATTTATTGACAGAATTAAAATTTAGGAACCTCGAAATTGTTCTTTGAAAATTGAGGTCCTCAAACGTTAATTAGATCAAAACTTAAGGACCCGGTTATTCTTTTTTCTAATGTTTATATTAATGTTCAGAGATCGAGATAATAGATCTTTAAATACTATGCCTATTAATATTTAGCTAATATCTAATAAAACAATTGATAGATATTATAACAATCAATAGCTATTATATTTAGTTCAAGCTTTATATGGGATAATAATTTTTTTAAAATTATTATAATCAAATATTTTTCTAATTTTAGAATTTTCTTTAAATTAAAATTTTAAATTAAAGATACAACGCAGTTTTTTTATAAACGACTTTTTTTATAATTGTTTTTATATTTTTAGATAATTCTTTTTCTTTCCTATTTTAGAAATTTTTAAATAATTTCTATGTCAAAAATATTAAAGAATTACTATTTCATTTTTTTTATATATAGAAAATAAGCCTTTTATTCATTTAATGTAACATCGGGATGACAATTATATAAAAAGCTTACACAAACAAAGGCATGGTTGTCGTTTCACTGAAAAAAAAAAAAAAAAAAAAAAATGGTTGTCGTTTCACTGAAAAAAAAAAAAAAAAAAAAAGAAGAAGAAGAATCTGTAATAAAAAAATAATAAAAAAAAAAAAAAAAAAAAAAGAAGAACTGTAATAAAAAATAATAATATTTTAAGTGGTAATCAACTATTGATCAGGTATATGAAAAATAGTTATACACACACATGGACAAGTATTTTCTTGCTATAGTTTACTAAGAAGCTATTACACTTTCATGCGAGGATGCTGCATCCGTTGGTTGTTTAACAAACTTCAAAGTCTGTTTTATATTTCTCTCCTGTCTCTCTCATTTTATTTTTCTCTTTTTTAAACTTTTTTTATTTTTCATTTCTTTCTTTTCAGACTAATAGATCTCAATCCTTTAATATAATCTATCCCTAGACATTCCTAATAAACGCAGGCCAATAAACTCCAACCCGATTCCGGACCGACTAATATGGTTAAAACATAATCTTTAACATGCCTTTAAGTGCAATCAAAGTACCGCTGGCTTATGCACATAAGCAAGAGTAAGGTATGGGGTTCTGTTCTCCAAAAAGAAAAAGACTGATGGTGCAGGGGTGGCCAAAATTCGATTTTCGGAACCAGAACCATCGGTTCTGAACCGGTGGGAATCAAAACCGAAATCTGTGGGAACCGAAACCTGTCCGAACTGAAATTGGAACCGGTCCAAACCGGTTCGGTTGTGGTTCCACCAGTTTTGGAACCGTGAACCAATGGTTCCAGCTCTAATCGGAATCGACAGTTCTAGTTCCACCTGAAACCGGCCGGAACCATCCAAAATCGGTTTGAAACAGGCCGAAACCGTCGAAAAATTGATCGGAATCGTCGATTTTAGAACCATTGAGGAACCGAAACTAGAATCGGAACCGGAACTAGAATCGAAACCGTTCGGTTTCAAACCGTAACTAAAGCCGTTAAATTTTGGTTCAATTCCAGTTCCATATTTTTTAAAACCGAAATCGTCAGTTCCGGAACCGAAATCGGCGGTTCCGGAACCGTGGCTACACCTACGATGGTGCCACCAAATCTATATATTGATTATATGAAACAAGTGTAAATGTATGTTTCCGGAAGCTCTCTTCTTCCAAGTACTCTTTCTATCATTTACGCTGATTTTTCTTCCTCCCAACCCCCCCTTTTTTTTTTTTTCCTTTCATTTATAATAATTTTTACTCCTACTTATAATGTGTTATAATGATGGTGACTCACATTTTCATTGTAATAATTAATAAGCAGTTAATACATTTTATTGATAAGAAATTCTTGAGTATTTTCTCTACCTTTTATATTGATCTTTCTTTTTATTCCCCTTATGTTATTTTTCTCTCCTTTGTAATCTCTTTTTTCTTGCATAATCTTTATCCCACTTGTAATATTTTTTTAATTTAATGACAACAATGTGCTTAATTTTGTTTCATGACTCTTGGTTTATTTTTAGTTATTATTAATATTAATTAAAATTTAATTAATAAGTTTTATTGATGAGAAAGTGAGGAGTTTTGTGTGCTCCAAATTTGGCTCCTCTTGTTTCCATATTCATTTATTTATCTTTTACCAGTTTTCTTAAAGTGTATTAAATATTGTTCGTGAAACCACAGCAGCATTAGCCAATAAATCTGCAGCCTTGTTAGCCTCGCGAAAGCAATGACGAAACCGAAGTTGCCAATTCCGAGCTCGAAGCCATTTCCAAATAAACCACAGAGAAATGCAAAGAGTTGAAGAGAATCAATCTTACCACTAGACTTAGGGACAAATATTCTAGTCAAACCAACCAGCATTAAGACCTCATACTAATGGGTTAGGTTTTGAACCATTATATTTTGGTTCCTCTTCTCCTTTTTATTCGACGTGGGACTTGAGAGAATATTCCAACAAACATACCAGAAGGTGTAAGCCGCCAAACAAGTTTATCCAAAGCTGTCACATCTTCCACTAACATCACTCTTCAAACGCAAACATTACTCATCGTTCAAGACTGAACGAAGTAAATCCTAATCCCAATCACCATTAACCCATAATTGAGCAACTGAGTAGGATTCCAAAAAAGCTGGAACCTCCTGAACCGCTAAATCACGAATAATAGTATCTCCCAACCAGGGGTCATCCCAAAAATTAGTAAGCAAACCATTCCCTGCAGGATAACAGGGAGCCAGCCCGTAAAGATAACCGATTTTAACAAGCACTTGCCAGATAACCGATTTTAACAAGCACTTGCCACAAGGAGGAAGACCCAGCCTTAGGAGTGAAGGCCTCTATTCCTGACAAATGCCCAAAATATTTGCCCTTAATAATCTGTAACCACAAGCCATTTTCTTCGTGAATAAGCCGCCAGTCCACTTTAGCTATAAAAGTATTATTCATGTCCTTGCATTGTTTGATACCCAAACCACCTAAAACAGCAGGCCGGGTAACAATTAACCAATTAACTAAATGAATTCTAGAGCTGCCCCTTTGATCACCCCAAACAAAAGACCGAATCCGCTTATCCAACTCTCACAGACTGATGAAGTAAGGTAGAGCGCTTGCATAATATGATTAGGAAGCGTGGAAAGGACTGATTTGGCAAGCGTAACACGGCCATCCAAGGAAAGATGTTGAACTTTCCAACCAGCAAGCTTTCGATCCACAACTTCAAACAAGCTATCAAAATGAAATTTATGAACCACGGCCTGGTATCATGGGCACATCAAGATACTTTTCCTACCCTTCAACTTGAACTATTTCTGGAGTCATATATATTTGATCACGCACAACAGCATCTACATTCGTTGAAAAAAAAAATTTTTTGATTTAGCAAAATTCACCCTTTGACCACTTGCCAAACCAAAATCTTTTAAAACCTCCAAAACAACTTGCACCTGGTCCACAGAAGCTCGAGCGAATAAAAGGAGGTCATCCGCGAAGAAAAGATGGGAGAGCGGTGGACAACGTCTTGAGACTTGAATTGGCTGCCAAACATCAACGCTAACAGCCTGATGAATTCTATGAGCTAGGTGCTCCATTCACAACACAAACAAATATGGGGAGATAGGGTCTCCCTGTCTAACTGCTCTCGTTGGAACAAATGTCTCAGAAGCTTGACCATTCCAAAGAAACCGCATAGACGTACTCCTCAAACATCTCATAAGCAACGAAATCCAAGAAGCAGGGACCTGACATTCAACAAGAGTATCACAATAAAAGCCCACCGAAGCCGATCATAGGCCTTCTTTAAATCAATTTTAAAAACCATCCAACCCTCCCCTGAACGCTGCTACCGCATCTTGTGCAAAGCCTCCTGTAAAACAATCACATTATCATGCAAATGTCGCCCAGGAATGAAACTAACCTGAGTATTCGCAACCAACAAAGGCAAAACACACTTCATCCGATTGACCACCATTTTTGTTGAGATTTTGGAAGGAAGAATGGAAATGCACAAAATGATTAACAATGTTTAACACTTCTTGTTTTGCACTACCTTGAATTAACAAAAGAATGTACCTATTATATAGGCTTACAAGTGAATCAAATAAGATTAAACAAAAGAATGTACCTATTATATAGGCTTTACAAAGTGAATCAAATAAGATCTAAAATTACTCTAAAAATCATCAATCCTAATAACAAAAGATCAAAATATCTAAATATCAAATTCTATGCAGAAAATCTGCACTAAATAAAATTGAAATCTCAACAGATTTTTCATAATATTATTTTGAATTAATCCTAACAATTTTAGTAACGACCTTGTACACCACATTACACAAACTGATCGGACGAAACTAGTGAATAAACTCAGGCGTTGTCACTTTAGGAATTAACTAATATGAGAAACTAATATTAACTATTGTAATAATTAATATATTAATTATTGTTTTACAACATCATTTTTAACCTTGATATTTTTCTTTTTCTTTTTCTTTTTTTTACTTTTCGCTAAAGTTATAAGCATATAATTAATTTTATACTCACTTTTTTTTTGAGAAAAAAAATTCTTTCAACATTTTGTAAGGTTTGCTAATATAACTTGTTTTATATATATTTCTAATGAGTTTTATTTTCTAATTTATATCAAATAATAAACTTTATAATATATTTCTTAATAAATAATAACAAATTATATTTATTATTTGTAGAATAAGTTATTTGCAGGAAATAATTAAAATCGATCAAATAAAAAATTATTAAAAATAATAATTAAACATTATATTCTTATCATATTTAATAGGTATCTTATATAGCAAAATATATCGATCAAGATTTATTTTTAACTAATAAAATTAAAATCCTTAAAGATATTATATTCTTATCATATTTAATATATAGCTTATTTAGTATATAATATAATTTATTAGTTTATTAGTTTAATCAATATAATTTAGATTTAAATAGAAAATTAATGTAACCAATCAAAATTAAGTTATGTTTATTTTTTCAATCAATAAAATTAAAATCCTTAAAAATATTATATGCTTATCATATCCCGTACATACCATACTAGTATATAATATAATTTCTTACTTTATCCAATAGAATTTAGATTTAAATAGAAAATTAATATGATCAATCAAAATTCAATTACTTTTATTTTTTAACAAATAAAATTAAAATTTTTAATGATATTTTTGTCAATCTATAAATTTAGTGGGAGGTGTTTTTGTAATCCTAATAGTTCTCCTCCTCATTGCCATTTTTATATATACTAGTTCTTTTTATACTTATTACATATTAATATGACTATACTTGTTATATGTTTATATTTTATATTCGTTTAGCTTTTTATTTATATAATTAAAGTATAAATTCTTATTTAGATTGTAATAAATATAGTGGTTTTTGTATATATAGTAAAATATTCTTTTTAATTATATATCTTGCAGTGTAATATCTCATTGAAAAAAAAATTGATATATTTGTTTCTCTATTTTAAAATAGCATTTTAAAATAGCAATTTAAATATGAAATATGACATTTACATTCTTTTTAACATACTGATTTATATGGTTTTATTATACGTTAGTTACTTTTATTTTTTGTTTAAGTACCAAATTGATTTATAAAAGTTATCATATAGCTTTTATTTTATATTTTATAATTAATTTACATATTTTGTCATATTTTTGTTAATAAATTTCACTATAATCATCTTTTAGGTAAATAAATATACTTAACAATAGAATAAGAAACGATCTAATAACTAATCTAATAAACCAAATTAAATATTTATAAATCATAAATATTTTTATTTTTATTTTTTTAGCCAATCAAAATCACCAAATCATTTAAAAAATTTATTGTTAAAATTATATTCCTTAATAGAAAGAATAGGATTTGAATGAAATAAGATCTCAATATAATTAATCAAATTCGATATTTTTAAAAATAAATAATTTTTTATCTTATTTTTTTTGCCAACCAAATTAGAGGGCAATTTGTAATTTAAGAAATTTAACTATACCCTTTTTAAATCAAAATCTTAAATCTAGGTATATTTATTTAAAATAAATTCAAAAAGAATAAAAATTTTCAAATGCCTCATATTTACACATATTCATTTAAAATAATAATGTTGAAGATAAATTAAATTACATTAATAGTAAATTAAAAATAAAATAAGTGCAATAATAATAATAATAATAATAAATTATTAAAAATTATTATATATATAATAATATAATTGAAATAAAACATAATTAGACATAATAAAATAATAATAATAATAAATTTTTAAAATTTTTAAAAATGCTTAATTATTATTATATTTACGTATTAAAAAAAGGTTACAAAAACATAATTAGACATAATAAAATAATAATAATAATAAATTTTTAAATTTTCAAATGCTTAATTATCTATTATATTTATCTATTAAAAAAAGGTTAAAAAAAACATTCAATCAAATTATAGAGATATTATATATACTTTTATGTTAAACTTTTTTTAATTGGCTGTATCTAAAGTTATTTTAGAGTATCTTAAATTTTACAAGGACAATTCTTTTATGACATGCGTTGCATGTTGACTTATATGGTTATATGCTAATTTTTATACATGTTTAATTTTATATTTATATATAAATTTTTATTTAGATTAAAATAAATGGAATGATTAATTTATATTCCATAAACATTTAATCAAAACGAATTCAAATACATTTCCAACAAGGTAATTTCACAATAACCAAATCCTGCAGCCACACCATCTACTTATTTAACAAGAAGCTTAACCAAAGCTTCCAATATTCTTTAAATGGCCAGCCATGCACAATTTTCCTAACCTTACTTCCTGCAAACAATTCCATATCCTGCAGAACCTCCATGGGTGCAATCTAGGGTGCCATAGTCGGTAACCGATGAAATCTCTTTGTTTGATCCAATCTGAAGAGAGAAAATGCAAGATTCACAATCTGCCGAAAGAAGTGATTCAGTTCTATACTTGTTTTCATCTCCTAAAACCGGCATTGCCACGCCAGGCTTTGCTGGGTTTTCGAAATCAGGCCTGTAAGTCCTACCCAAAACTCCATCAACTTTAGGTGACAAGTTAAAGAACCTAAATTGGACCTCTAAATGGACAAAGCAGTCGTCTTCAGGTACTTGATATTTATGAACTCTGTCATCTTCTTTAGTTACAGGCACTACATTGACCAAAATCTCTACAGTATGCTTTATATTCACTATAACACTGTTTTTTCTTGATACTCTTTCTACTTTGACATCTTTTTCTGGTGAGTACCAAATGGAAAGTGGCTCTTCAGGTACGACTAAGTTTTCACCATTGTAAGTGAACTTCAAATGGTCAACTTCGCTATCCCAAGTTGCTGACTTTGTTGCTTCAAGAGAAAATGTGTTAGAGTTGAAAAGAATTCCCAAGGCCTGAATCCAAGTGAAGTCTCTGGTTCTGCCTTCTGGTCTGTGGCCAATGAAACGTCCATTGATTTGGAGATTTGAATCTGATACTAAACTGAAATGCTCATTGCTCTTTCCATGGAAGTAGAAAACAACACCATCACCACCTATAAATCGGGGATCATAACAGGCTGATCCTGGTGTGTCACAACTTGCTTTGCGCGCTGAAAATATGAAACACGTGTTTGACAATGAATAGTTAGTCACTATACACATGGGCAAAGCTAAAAACTTCAATTCAAAGGCCAAACCTTTTAACATCAAAACTAATGGGGAAAAATGGTTAAGTTTGACAGAAAAAATATAGCAGGTCATGGTGTTCAACCTGCAAATGTGTCTTCGCCATTAACTATACCGAGCATTTACTATATTTACTGGTTTAGTATATAATGATTTCATATATCCTGCACTTTAGGTATTAGCATCTAATTTGAGATAGAAATGAAAGAAATGAATAGTAGAAATAAGTTAATCTTACTCTTGCAAGAAGCCTTGCACTGTGGGTGATCACAGTTGACATAACAAACTTTAGATTTGGGGTCCTGTGGGTAAGTGCTTGGGCATTCATAAGGGCATTCTACGTACTTCCCATTGCATCGGCTTAATGGGTTGTTGCAGTGAACAGATTCTGCATTTACTTGAATAAAACCTGTAATCAGAGCTACCAAAATAACAAATATGAAACTGCTGCTTAAGACCTTCATGTTGAATCCCTCTTTACTAATATTGAAAGAAGAAAGACTAATTTTTTGATGCGAGAAATCTTCTTATTCTGGTGCTATATATAGGATTTTGAATTTATTTGTTTAAATTAAAGCTTGTTACTTGATCTAAGCTTTAGCTCATATTTGAAGTATGAACATGGGAATAGTTGGCATTTTGTTTGCAGAAGCCATTGCTTTATATACAAGGGAAAGGTGATTACTGATGCCTGAAAAAGCAAATTTGCTACTCAATATATAGACTCCAAAATGAGTGGAAGGGAATTGGCAACCTGAGAACATTAGTAAGAATTAACTTCCCGATTGAATAGAGTGGCTTGTACATAAGTTACACTTGAGTTTAACATAGATAGTTTTGATAATTGGAAAAACACTTTAAAAAATGGATAATCATAAATCTCAAAACGAGATTAATCTCGTACCTAAAAGATATAGGAATACGACCTATGAGGGGTGAGATGGGATAGTAAGGATCCCTTCTCTCATAATTAGAGGTCTTGAGTTCGAGCCATGAGTATGGAATCCCTTTAAACACTCTAGAGGGAGTGGTTTACCCCTTTGTAAGCCTATGCGGATTAATCGAACCAGTGAGTTTCAAATACTAAATGATTAAAAAGAATCAAAATAAATAAATACAGGATACTCGAAAAAAAACAAGAAACTTTGCAATTGAATGACAATAAATAATATATCATATGTGATTCTTGCTTGATGTTCAATTAAATTAAGTTATTGGTATCTGGCCCAAATGCGGAGGAAAAGTTTAATTAAATCAAAGTAGAGATTGAGAAATATTTTTAATTATATATTCTCTTGACAAAAGTACACTTAAAGAGGACAATATGCAAGCATTTAGGAGCAATTCATATTCCATTATTGAGCTTCTTGCTTGTGGTGATAACCAGCCAGGTTCACTTGCTTTGGTGGAGCATATTTAAAAGTGATATAAAATTAAAAGAATTATCATATTTACAAATCCAATAAGGATCTTCAATTTTTTTTAAAAAAAAGGCTTATGATAAATTATTTTATTTAATTTAAGTTTTTTTGTTTAAATTTTTTTAATCAATTAAATTTGTGTAAATCCCCCCTCCCAAAAAAAAAAAATCCAGAGTGTAATTTTATTTTAATATACATACCTTTTTGTTATAAAAAAAATACTCCTTCCTCAAATTTAAGTAAGGGTTTCCATTTTTTGAAAAAAGCCCTCTCTTAGATATTTTTTTCCCCCTCCTTTCTTCAATTTAAGTAAGGCCTTTTGTGTGACAGTGCTCTTGCCTGAATCACGCAAACAGAGAATTTTGTAAAGAATTCATATATTGTATACATAAAAATGATAACTAACTAAAAAGAATATAAAATTTAATGATAAAAAAATAATGACTAGAGGATAATAATAAAATCTGAAATTATATATATCTCTAACAATATATACCCTTTCTTAGGTTATTGTTTAAAAGATATTGGCTTTTTGCAAATTTAAAATTTAAATTTCAATAGGTGTGATCTGATTGGTCTTCTCAATACAAGGAGTAAGAGAGGTATTGAGTTCGAAATCTCTTGAATATAAGTGTTTTCGCTAATTTGGTAAGTCCAGCGGAAGGCTACCCCCTGTTGCGAAGTGGCCTCTCAATGAATAAAAAAAATTTTAAAATTTGCACATCTTAGATGTAAATGTTTAAAAATCTAGCATATAGTTGATGACAAATGATAAATGTCCATTTAGTTGATTCTTATCTGAATTTGTCAAAAACAGGGTTATTAACCAAATATTATAGTGATTTCCCAGCATGTGATTCGAATCTGAATCGAATTTAAGGTTGTTTCACTAATTTATTTAACTAATGAAAATTATAAAATATAAATAAAAATAATTATTTTTACAATGTTTTTTTTAGAAAAATCAAACTAGAAATTTCATTAAAAGGAAACTATATACAGATATAGGATATACACATATCAAAATATGCTTCTATATTTTTGTATAGAAAGTTTAATAATAAACCACTTATACAAAAAATAAAAAAACATGAGCTTGATTTGAAATATCTGATCGAGTTGACTTGGTAGCTCCATGGTCTTTCTATAAAACCGATCTGATTGCCTTTAAATTTCTTCCTTCTATTATAGGTGATCTACAATTCTTTCTGTATAACTATCTAAATAACAAAATACACTAAACAAAATCACTATAATAGTAATAACAATAACTCAAAACTTGATCTTAGGACAAAATTTTAAGATATGGGCAACAATAAATACCAAGATGTGAACGATATTAACTCAGACATATATATATAAAAGATTTGAGAACTATTTGCAGCAAAAAATAAACAAAAAAGGAAAAAAAAAGTTACAAACGGTGAGAGCTCACCAGCGGCCGTCCATGAAAGAAGAAAAGAGAACTTTTAGGTTTTAAGTTTTGGGAGAAATAGTTTTTGATGATAAATAAGTATTATTTTTCAATGTTAGTAATACTAATTATTTTTATTTGAGTTTAAAGATGATCAATTATGTCTGTAAAAAATAAATAATTGAGCATTTTGACCTCAGCCTATATAGATATAACAGAATAATTGATTTCAATTTATTTTTAGTTTGATTGATTTTCATTAAAAAACGAATTTTGACTAAACTACCTTGATTCTAATTCAAGTAATTTAGATTATTTTAAACAGAAATTCATTTTCAACTTTGTGAATATGATGGGGCCTAAATTTTTTTAAATTTAACTTTTCTTTCACAAATGTTTAAATATATTATATACATAAATTGGTTCCCAAAACAATTATTTTAGTTAAAATTAAAAAATCAAACCGATATAATTTGGTTTTTCAAATTAATTTTGATGTCTCTACTTTTAATTATTAGTATTTTTGTAACCATACTTGTTATTCATACTCGTTCAATTTTTTTATATATGCTCACTTTTACTTATTATTTATAGTTGTTTTTATTTTTTAATATTAAATATTGATTATAATTTTTACCTTATATTACTTAGATTTTTATAATGTCAAAATAAAATTTTATATGAAATTGATGTGAATATAATGGTCAATTAATAAACCAACAGTGTATATATATACACACACTTCAATGCAATTTATATCGTCATTTATTTAAAATTCATTATAATTGTATATGTATAATTCTATAATATCACCTGTTTCAATATATATAGATATATAGTTATAACAATAAAATATTATATATATTTTAAATTAAAATTTTTAGTTGTTCATCATCCTACACACATATATTCATTTTATTTAAAATAAATTTTAAAAAATAAAAATTTAAAATTTTTGAAATGCTTAATTATGTATATTCTAATTGAAAATTTATTTTTTAAAAAATATATTTAATCAATTTATACAACATAAAGAAAAAATAATATTAAAAAAATTTTTTTTTTCCCTTTTTATCTTCCTCCTAAATAAAATATTTCAAATTTAAAAAATAAATTTTTAAAAAATAATTAAAAATAAATAAAACTTAAAATTTTAAATGTTTAACTATCTATGTGTATTTATTTAAAAAATAATTTTAATAAATTATATTCAATCAACTAATAAAATATAATTTTCTAATTGATCATGACTAAAATTATTTTCAGATATTCAAATTTCATTAAAAGCACTATTGAAAATCTCATATTCTCCTATTACATATATTATAGATATAGATTGTAGATATATAGCTTTTATTACGGTACAGAATTTAAAAATTTTGCATAGATAGAAAAGTTTTATTCGTATGCGATTTGACATGGTAACCTACTATAGCAAGTAAACATAACCTATTTTTATTTAATTTATTACTATTAAATATAGAACTAGTTTTATGAATAAAACAGTTTTTAATTTAATATTTTAAAAAAATAGAAATTAAAATGATTAATTCTCCTATCTAAAAAAAATATGTTAAATTCTTTTTTCTCTTTAATATTATAAATAAACTAATACACCTTCTCAAAATAAATAAAGAAAAAAGTAAATAAGCTAATTATTAAAAATAATTTTAATATTATCACTATTAAAAATGATATAATTTTAATTAACTACTTTGTAATTTATATTTTTTATTTTAATCTTTTTTTAATCCTTTACTTGATTTTTAACATTATAAAATATTTCATCATTAAATTATTTAAAACAAATTTCATCAAAAAAATTTATTAAAATAAATAAACAAAAAATGTATAGAGAGAAAGAATGGTGAGAAAAATAATAGATTTGTATGAATTAAAAAAAAATACCATTTTCAAAAACAATTAAAAAACAAATATATTTAAAAATCATGATGTATAACATTTCTTTATATGTATTTATGAAGAAGAAAGTTCTCCAAAAAAAAAAAAATCAAAAGAATAAGAAAAAAAAGCTATATACAATAACTTTTATATTTTTCAACCATCTTATAAAGATATTTAATTAGCTTAATTTTATAAGTTAAAGTCTTAAATAAAATGATTTTGCGAATTGAAATCTTTAATACGTACAATTTTATAAATTAAAATATTTAGTAGATAAAAATAATGTTAAAAATGTCACAATTTATGCTCAACTTGTTTCCGTAAAATAACTTGCTAACAAATAATTTTCATGGAAAACATTTTCTTTGAAAAATATTTTTCAAAAAAATAACTTATTTTCCGTTATTTGGTTGCAATACTGAGAATTACTCAAAAATATTAAAGTCTTTATCTCGTAGAACCATAAAAAATATTAATAACAATAGAAATTTTATAATGTAAAAATTTTATTATTAAATATGAGAAGAAGTCTTTTATCTCGTAGAACCATAAAATAATTAATAACAAATAGAATTTTATAATTGTTAAAAATTTTATTTATTAAATATGCAGAAGAATGCATATATATATATATTATATATATTATATATTAACTATAGGAAAGTGGCCGTATATATTAGGAAAGTGGCCGGTGGTGGTAGCCGGTGTGGTGGTCGATATCAAATAGTGATTGGTGGTAATGACTATGATGATTAATAAATTAAAAAAAATATGAATTTATAAGGTTTGTCAATGTCTGGAGAACATTTTACTCTCTCGAAAATGGAAAATTATTTTCCTTAAAACATGATTTAATTTTTCTTGAACAAAAAATATATATTTTCTGTTGACTTATTTTTCTGAACGCTCCAAACAACAAAAACTTGTAAAAAATATTTTCTTACAAGTTATTTTAGGAAACAAACCAAGCCTTAAAACAATAAAGTTTGATGGTTGAATTTATGAATTCCACCGAGCACTTTCGTACCTACAAATATATGGCTCAATAACACATGCATCATGCACTATCTTAAGCAGGCACCACAGTAACGTGCAATGCTTAATTTTATTCAGATATAAAATTTTAAAACTATAAATTTTTATTACGATTTAATCCTTAAAATTTAATTCAATGTGATTGATTCAGTTTAGATTTCACAAAATCAAAATAATTTGAATTTTTTAAGAAGGATAGAAATAACCTAAAAAAGGAATCAAAATTTCAAAAAAATAAAAAAATAAATAAATATACGTAATTTGATTTAGTTCATTATTTTATTATTACCAAATTTTGTGAAGCACTTCTCAAATCTTAAGCTTTAGTTGCACTTCATTTGTAAATTGATTATTGTAAATATGTCTCAAAATCTTATTGTTTTCACATAGGCCAAATGCATAGATATATTCATGTACTTTAGAAAAAAATTTTGTAGGACCTTCAACTTTGCGAATGATCTATTATTCCCATGAAGTTGCGAATTTTGCTAATACTATATCCTTTTCTACGCTAATAATAACATTTTTTTTTTGTGTTTTTTAGAATTTATGTGCAAGATAATCACCTAACGTGTGGCTACTATAATTTTTAAAGTAATAATTTCCACATTTTTCAATTATCTAATAAGTATTTAATTAATCTAATTTTAAAAGTTTGAATACAATAATTTTTTGTAAATTAAAATATTTGATTGGTAATTTTATAAATTAAAATTTTCAATAAATCAAAATATAAATTGAATGTGCCACGAGAGTTTTTACACAAAGTACAGAACGAATTACGAATTTATGCATTAGGACTTTTTCACATATGCTGCTATTACAATTACAATTCCTACTTGCAGAGAAATCTCTAGTATCTAAACATTTTTCCAGTCATTATAACCAGTGTAATACAATTACAACTCCTTGATTTAGCTTTGCGCTTTGTCACAAATTCAGCTTTTCTTACTATTTTACTTATAGTCAAAAATAAAAAATAAAAAAATGGCTTTAATCCATTTCTACAATATTTGCATTAATGCTTGGTGATTAAAGATTTAAAGTCATCACTTAATCTTTTCTTTTAAAGAAGGATAATAATCTTCAGAGTACCTCTCATTTAATAATTTGAAAATAAAAAAACTATAACAATTTATTAAATTATGATTATATTCTTTTGAAATAGCTTTTAACATTTTGATTATTTTTTATAATATTTAGTTAAACTAATTTTAAAAAATTAAAATAACTTTTTATAAAAAATTAAAATATGTAATATTTAACGTTTTGGCGTTTCACGAAACGCTATTAAAAACATCTAACGGTTGCGATTTTCAAAGCTGAACCAACCCTATATCTCCATTTGCCGAACAGATACTATATCTCCATGACATGAGCCTCCCAACAAGAAATAATGGACAGCCTGTAAAGCAATTCTAAAATTCTAAATATAATAAGTACTCCCAACTATTTTATGAAAATAAAATTAGAAAACTTTTTATGCAAATCAATTTTGACACCATCTATTCTCCCAACCACAGCCTACCACGACACCCAAATGGACCTACACACCCCAAAACTTTGACCATTCTATATCGCAATAGGCATTGAGCATTGGCTAACTGCTGATTATCCTTATCCCCATCCCATCCCATCTAATCTTAAATCATTGAAGAAATTGCTATTTATGGAAGGAAATGACCTAAGAAAATTATGCTTTAGTAAGGCAAATATTCACACCTATTTAGTGGACTTGCCAGTAAGAACCTCAGAACTCTTTTGCTAACAAAGAGAATGTTAAAGTTTTTCTTTTCTAACCATAAGGAAAATTAGAGAAAAAATGTTTCTTTTTTTTTTTTTTTTCATTTTTCCTTAAAAACAATCTTAAAGAAGAAAAAAAAAATTAAAGATAAATTGGACTTGGAAATCTCTCCCAATGCCAAAGTCACCAGTGCCTCCCCTGAGAAGCACCACCTTTATTCTTGGAAAAGAAGGTATTCTTTGGTTTTGGTATCTCATGAATGTCCATCACTTGAATTGTTCTTTGCTTCTTGGCTTCAATAAACCAAGCACAAAACAACACAAACCCAAATACCAAATCAGTAATCTCTCCAAACTTTACCAAATTGGAAAGACAAACAATAACAAGAAGATAGAAACCAAACCATTTAAGGCTTCTTTGTAATTCTCTTGAAGCCTCTTCCTTGCAGACGCCAGCCTCTCCGAATCAAAATTACTTTGTTGCTGCTCTCTCTGTCTCTGCAACTTTATCAAGTGATTTTCAATAATTGAGTGAACAAATCCTAAAATCTCTACTTCCCCCATGATATCGATCTTCATTTATTGCCAAATAAACAAAATGCAATCATTCGATGTGCTAAGTACCTGTGCATTGTGAGAAGCAGAAGCAGATTGTTGGATAGGTCTCGGAGGAGCTTCTTTTCGAGGAACAGGTTTTGGCTTTCGTTCTGGTTCTGAATTATTCTTGTCTGAACCAGAACTCCCATCTATAAAAAAGGCAGAAACATTAAAGCAGAAAGTATGAGCAAACAGCAGAATAATTATTAAACCAAGAAAAAGAGAACAAAATAAAAGATCAATCCAGTTTTGAATCTGATTCTATACTTACTATGAGGATTTGGAGAGTATGCAAAATCAGGAACCTAGAAAAGAACAGAATATTAGAAAGCAAGGAAAGGATAGAATATTTCAACAACTTTCCTATACAAAGAAATTGGCAAGAAAAGATTTTTCTTCACCTGGTGATGACCATTCTGGGGAATTTTCTGCTGTGGGGAGTCCCCATCAGCTGCAGAAAACAGTATCATTAATTTTCCCATCACTAATAATTTTTTCCATTTGTAACTTCCATCTCTTTACATTAAATCTCCATTTCACTTTATATAGGAAATTTTGGCCGGAAAAAGAAAATGTAGATATAGGTAGGGTTGAATTTATTGTAATTTTACCCATTAGAGCAGAGGATGCATGCTCTCCTTGCGGATTCAATCTGACCCATTCATCTACAATTTCTTTCCATTTCCTGGAAACCAAACAGCCATCAAGTCAAACAAATGAATAAAAACTCTTTTACTGATTATTGGTTAATAAGCAAAGAAAACATGATATTACCTGACAAGTTGCTTCACTAATTTCCTAACATCATTGGATGAATGCTTTCTCAATCGGTTCACATGTCTTCCAATATCAGTCTCCTAAAACCCAGAATTCCAAAATTAATCACTTATCATAAAATAAATTGAGTTATTAAATAACCAACAATCAAAATACAGAAATAGAAAAAATTGAAATTTCAACAATTGTACAATATATTTACCTTCAGTGCTCTGAAAGTAATATCCATATCTGCTAAACTTTGAAGCAAATCAATCAAAGAATCTTCAGACTGAAAATAAGAGTAAGAAAATCAATTCAAACCCAAATAATTAAAAAACCCAAAAACAAGAAAACAACAAATGAATCAAAACCTGATCCGGATCTTCAATGCTTTGTTTGATCTCTAAAATCTTTTTCTGCTCATCATCAAGCAATCCACCATAAGGATCCAATTCATCGTCCTCTTCTTCTTCTTCTTCTTCTTCTCCATGAATAGACCTTGGTGTCGTTGAAGGAGACCCACTTCCACCACCGCCGCCTACTTTCGCTTCATGACTACTCTCTTTCATTTCATGCCCATCATTAATCCTACCCACATCAAAATCACAGTTTCTGCACCGACCATCAGATGATGAATATAACATTTCAACAATCTTATCTCTTCGTCGTTTCAATTCAGAACCAAAATCTGAAGACGCCACCATAATCGCTGTTTCTATGAAAGTCCAAACGTCAACGCCTGAACTTTCAAGAATGGATCGAAAATCGTCAATATCCATTCAATCTCCTTTCCTTCTCCCCCTTCTTCTTATTCGTGTAATATTTGTCAGTATATAATAATATGTATAGAAAAACTATATCACAACAGATGGAATGTACAAAATTCCAAAGCGGGTTGCAAAATCATACCATAGATCTGTCACACAGACCGTACAAAAGCAATCAAGAAACAGAATTTAGAATCTAACAAAACGCAGTTGCAATCCGTCAATGAACCCCAAAACAGAAAAACTAAGATTTCCAATAACCCAGTTTAGATCTGACTCCAAAATTCAAAAGGAAAACAGAAAACAGATTGAAAATAAACAATTACACCGATGACTTCTCACTCAACGCTATATACGACAGAAACCTTTTTGATTGAAGAAAGCTGAATAGAGTTTCTTTCAGGTGATGGAAGAAACTGCGTTAACTTTTCTCCCTTAATTTTTTTTTTTCTTTTTGTTCTTGGTTTTGTGATAAAAATGGGCATAGAATTTTGGGTGCGGATGGCTGTGACGAAGAATGGGTATATTCTATTCTAAAATTGAAGGATATTTTTGCTTTATATTTATTTAATTAATGGGTATGCTGACTTATGCCTGCTGTTTGATTTTCTCTCTCTATCTGTTAAAAAAGAAGCACGTTTTTGTTTGTTATGGCGGAATCGGAAGGGGCAGGGAAGAGGAAGGAGAAAGAAAGATGGAGTCGCAAAATAGTAAAATAAAAGGAGGGAGTGGGTGTGGTGTAGTTGTTTGCATAATTGCTGGAATTTTGAGGGTCAGTGGGGGTTTGTCCCACGTGCAAAGCTTGGATTGCTAGCCTCTTACAATGGACTTAGATAAAACAATTACTCAACCCCTCTTATAATTTATTAGGACATTTTTCTTTTTACTTTTCTTTTCAATTTATGTATAAAATATATAAAGCAAATTAAGGCATAACCAAGCGGTAAAATACATATATAATAATTACTATTTTATCTTTCTATTTAGTCTACATATAGTTTTATGTTATATCTTTGTGTTAATTTTTTGTACTTTTCCATTAAAGTTAGTGATAGATTAGTTAATTTTGATAAAGGGATAATGTTAATTTGGTGCATGTAATTATCATTTTTTTTTTCTATTTTTGTGTCTGAACGGAAAATTGTGACAATTGAGTGTTTAAACTTGCATTTTTTTTTTTAATTTAGTGACTCCTGTTAACATGGACAACCGCAAAATCTAATGGGACTAATTGGCCCAGATGCCTATGTGTCCGCTTATGTGGATTGACATTTTTCCATGTGGACCGACAACGTGGCAAAATTAATGAAATGACCCATTTACCTCAATTTATTACCTAATACCTTTTCTCCCAAAAACCTAACCTAAATCAAAACGCAATAAACAAAACAAATCAAATCAGAATCAATAATCTCAACCTCAATGAATAAACTTTTGATCAGTTTCAAACTACAACACAAATCTAAACATGCCTTCTACAAATGTGAACCTAGAAAATTATTATGCTAATCAAATTCTTCAATTTAGACTTTGGCACATAATTACAAACAAAAGCCAAAGTTTCAAACTTTACGATAAAAGTCAACACTAAATCAGATCTACTCTGCCATTACTAACATAATCTACAATATACATAAACAGATACTAGTATAAAATCAAAAACTCATACCATCACAACACACTAGCACAAGCTCCTTAAATCCCAAAAATGACTCTGCAAAGCATCACAAGATTATCATACATCATAGTCACGCGCTTCAAGTGAACCTTCTCGAGCCAAGGATATGCGTTAGCCATAGAAGAACGGTGCAAGAGCAGGGGAGAAAAAAAGAAAGGGAGGCTTTGCTTTAAATCGTGATTTAGGTTGGATTTTTTTTTGGGAAAAGGTGTTTGGGGTGGTATTAAATTGAGGTAAATGAGTCATTTCATTAATTTTGTCACAAAGTCAGCCTATGTGAAAAAATGTCGATCCATGTAAGCGGACACACAGGCGTCTATGCGTCTCAGTTAGTCCCATTAGATTTTCGGTTATCCATGTTAACAGGAGACACCAAATTGAAAAAAAAAATGCAAATTTAAACACTTACTTATCACAATTTTCCGTTCAGATATCAAAATAGAAAAAAATGACAAGTACAAGCACTAAAATTAACATTATCCTTTTGATATATAAGGAAAAATATTTACTAAATGTAGAGATATATTAGTTAATTTCGGCACAATGCAAGGATAAAATCATAATTTTTTCTTTTAATTTGAAGAATAGTGAGTCATTTAATTATAATAAAAAATATGGAATATTATAATTAATATAAGGATATATTAAAAAATCATGTAAAAATTACAGTTTAATCACACTAATTGTATTTTCTTAGTCTGTGAAAAAGTTAAATTACAACTATATTTATGACACAAAAGAGTATATAATTAAATTTTTAAAATTGAAATTCTAATTAATATATTTGAATATAACTGAAATTTTAAAATATAAATCATTAACTAATTTATACTTCATCCGTCCCGTTTTGTTTGCATGGTTTGACAAAACACACATATTAAAAATTTAGTTAAAAGTTATTTTGTCACCCTTAATTCATAAGATATTAATAAAAGTCATTTATTCAATGAAAGATCATAAAGGTTATCATGAGAAAAATAATTGTTTACACGTATATATTTAGAAACCTTACAAACATTTTGGGACATCCAAAAAATGAATAACAAATAAACAAAATGAGATGAAGGGAGTATAATACAATCAAAAAATTAAGATGGTGTTTGGTTGTTGAAATGAAACAACTGCATGTAAAATCACTCTCATTAAAAACAAAGTATTTTTTGGAACTCACAATAAATTTTTTAATGAATTTATGAAAAAAAATGAAATAAAACACTATACTTAACTTATATGTATATTCTTTATTTACTAGACATCTAAATCTAATCGGGTACCCTTTTCCCCTCCAACACTATCATAGATTGGTCTAGCCAGGTTTCAGACTCGTAAATATGCAGCAATGCGGGTCACAAAACACCCCATCATGATAGTTCTTTTATCTGCTCTAGCAACCCTCGCCCATCTTTGGCAGAGCCAATACAAGAAAAAATGAATAAACACTATACACTTAACTTATATGTATATTCTTTATTTACTAGACATCTAATATCTAATCGGGTACCCTTTTTCCCCTCCAACACTATCATAGATTGGTCTAGCAGGTTTCAGACCGTAAAAATATGCCAATCGCGGGTCACAAAACACCCCATCATGATAGTTCTTTATTCTGCCTCTAGCAACCCTCGCCCATCTTTGGCAGAGGCCCAATAGCCCAACATTCCAGCACCACTCCAATTCTTCAATACGCCATAAAAAGTATAATTCCATTCCCCATAAAAAGTATAATTCATTCAAGCTTACGACTCCATCACTCTCACTCCTTCTAAAGATAGTGTTAGACAAAAATCTGTGTATGTATCTTAGGGTAGGATTTTTTAGTTTGGAGGCCTTTGAATACCTAGGATTATAATTAATTTCATCGGTGAAATGTTGCCATGTATTACGGTCATGAAAATCCTTAGATATCTGGATTTGAGCGTTTTCCGTGGGGAATCCAAAAATATGGCTAACTTCATTCATAGATAAATCAAAAGTTCTACCAAGAAGCCTAAAGCGAATTTTGCCTGGAGGAGAGATAGGCAAAAATCGAATGAAAGAAGAATAAGAAATACAAATATAAACATTAGTTCAATAAAAATTTTTTCTACTAAGAATAATTTTTTTATTCTACTATCGAATTAACATGAACATATTATTGTGAAAATAATTAATAAATATAAAATAATAATGATTTAAATGAATTATAAAAATAAAAATTTTAAAGAAAATTTAGGCAAAATTAATAAATAGGATATTTTTATAACTAAGGGTGATTAATAGTGTGAATTTAACTCCATTTTTTTCTAATTCATTGGAGGTTTTTATGAGCTGATATAATACTGTGAGCTACATAACATGGATGGTCTCCCTTAACTCACCAAATTGATAAAAATAACTGTGATCGAGAGGACTCAAACTCGAGACCTCCCACTCTAGACATAAGTGAGAAGACAACTTTATCATCTCTTTAGACAACAAAAAATAACAGTATTTTTATTTGATTTACGTTATCAAACTAGCTATATACTTGTGCTAGTACAGATTTAATAAAAATTGATCTTTTGTATATTCATTAAATTTTTTTTTCAATTTTTGTTAAAATTTTAAAATTGAAAATCATTTTTAATAGTTATATAATTGATTTCCCAATAAATAATGCTGAAACTTGTAATATTCAAACTTTCATATATATATAACTTTCATATACTATATATAATTATATATTTATATATATAATATACTATTATTAGTTTTAAGACATAGGTTGCATAATTGATTTCTACTTGAATACTAACAAAATAAGTTCCTAATTGAGTTCAGATATTTTATCATAAATTTAAACGTGCGTTTATTGCACGTTGACTATGCTTATTATTTTATAACTCGTTTAATTTTTTATTTATATTAAAATTATAATTTTTTTGTTAAGACATAGGTTGCATATTGATTCTACTTGAATACTAAAAAATAAAGTTCCTAATTGAGTTCAGATATTTATCATAATTAAACGTGCGTTATTGCACGTTGACTATGCTTATTATTTATACTCGTTTAATTTTTTATTTATATTAAAATATAAATTTTTATTTAGATTGAGTAGTTAAATTATATTACACTCTATATATAGAGTAAATACTCTTTAAAAATTCTATTTCAATATACTAACTCATACTGTTTTTATTATGCATTAATTGCTTTTATTTTTTTTCGAAAAAAAAATTATAAAAATCATAATATAGCTTCTATTATATTTTTTATAATTATAACAAATTTTTACGTAATCGATTCTAGTACAAAAACTCCGGAAACACCAGAATGCCAAAACATATTCATCCACTAGAGTTGAAGGGTACTTCTAGAAAACTGATCTGGTTGGTTCCATATTCCCAAGCTTGCCCAAAGGTGATAATTTCTGAAACTTAGATATTGGTCTCCACAGATCAACATCCTGAATAAGCTTATGTAAGTGACAAGTGACACGAGTCAAATAGGAGCCTTGCCACTCACCTTCCTAAATGCCGACCAAAACAAAGACGCCCGCCATGTGTTTGACCTAATGCTCCAATCACTTAAAGCAAAATGTCTATGGGGGGCATGTGGCCAAGCGGGAGTCTCAATGGAAAAAGGATTATTATAATGAAATGAGACAGATTAAAAATCTTCCATTCATCGAGAAAGAGAGATGGAAATCATGGAGGATGTGGTGATAGTTGGTGCAGGCATAGCAGGGCTAGCCACTGCAGTGGCCTTGAAGAGAGTTGGGGTTCGATCTTTGGTATTAGAGAGATCAGAAGGGCTACGAGCCACAGGTGCAGCCTTAACCCTCTTTCCAAATGCTTGGTTGGCTCTTGATGCTCTTGGCGTTTCTCAGAAGCTCACTTCCCTTTATAATCCTATCCAAAGGTATGTTCTTTTAAGTACTGATAATATTGGTAGCTCTATATGCTACAATGTTTTCATAGCATTTGATCATTAATTTCGTTTATTGTTCTTTCTTAATCATAATTATTAGAGGATGTACAACCAACGTGGTTACTGGAGCTGTTTATAACAACGTCTTGACTGGAATCAACGGGTAACCTACATAAGCTCAGTATTTGACAGTTACAATATTTGTTAAACGCTAGAATTACATCTCAATTAGATGGTTACCTGCGTATACATAGACCGAGATCAGTCCATCGCAAAGCTCTATTAGAGGCTCTAGCAGAAGAATTGCCTGCTGATTCAATTCGGTTTTCTTCTAATTTCACTGCCATTGAAGAGCAAGAACAAGGAGGTTCTTCCATTGTTGTTGTACATTTGGAAGATGGAACTACTATCAAATCAAAGGTATATATAATCATATTATATATTGTTCTGTTTGGCATTGATATATTGGTTGTGTGTATAATTTACCTATATTATTGGCAAGCCTTACTTTGAGCTTCAGTTTGTAGTTCAAGTAAAAGAAATAAATCATAAAAACTATTTGGTGTTCACATCCAAATATTTATTCAATAAAAAAGATTATTTATTCTGTTAGGGATCTTACATTGGAAGAGAAGAAACTGAGTAAAGGGTATAACTGAGAAATATCTGTAAATTCAATGCATTTAAATTTTGAGTCGTTATGGTGGTCGGTCTATCGTGTTCTGTTCTCCTATAATGAAGAGTCAAGGTAATTCCCCATTGACATCATAATTCGTTTGAGGGAGAATAAGCTCAAGACCAATCTGTGGAAGAGATTGTTATTCCCCAGTGAACTATTATGCTTCCTGACTGGCATATTCAAATGAAGAACTGAAGCCTTCAAGGAAAAGAAATTTAGATTTAAATTTCGCCTCACTTTTTTCGGTTTTTATTTTATTTGTCTGCTAATTTATTTTTATATTGTAGGTTTTGATAGGGTGTGATGGGGTGCACTCAGTCGTAGCAAATCGGCTAGGACTTTCCGCACCTATCCACTCAGGTAGATCAGCAGTGCGTGGATTGGCTATTTTCCCACAAGGCCACGGATTTAATGATGAGGCCAAGCAGTTTCTTAATGCAGGCAAAAGGGCAGGTTTGATCCCTCTAAATGAAAAGGAGATTTACTGGTTCTTAACCGGCCTTGAAGGTTAGCATTTCTCAGACTTTCTTTTATCAGTCATTTCACTCTTCTTCCTCTTACTTGTACGCCTCAATTTTCGGATGGCAGTATTGCATGCGTGTTCTATTTAAACTAAAATTAATATGTCTTTATTTCAGGAGAAAACATGGTCAGGGAGCCAGAACAAATACAGAAAGAAATCATAAACAAGTATGCGAAAGATTTTCCATCTATATATCTAGACGTGGTGCAACATTCTGATCTTTCAACATTATCGTGGGCCCCATTAATATTAAGACAGCCATGGAATGTGATATTTGGAAATCTAAGCAAAGGAAACATCACAGTTGCTGGTGATGCAATGCACCCAATGACACCTGATTTAGGCCAAGGTGGTTGTTCAGCACTAGAAGATGCTGTCGTTTTAGGCAGGCACATTGGAGAATCATGCATAAGAAATAATGGTAGGCTTGTTTCAAATGACATGGCTGGAGCCATAAATGGGTATGTTAGAGAAAGGAGGTGGAGAGTAGCTGGTTTGATCACTGGCTCATATTTATCTGGATGGATTCAACAAGGTGGGTCTCAATGGTGGATGAAATTTTTAAGAGATGCTGTATTTCTTAGGTTCTTATTGCCCAAGGTCTTTAATCTTGCTCATTCTTATGATTGTGGGACTCTGCCTAATTTCTCTGCCTCAATTAACCTGCAATCTTCGTCTAATAAAACAGACTAGATTGTGGTTTGTTTAACGCTGACAGTGAGGTGAGAGCTGCGCCAAATCGATGTAAACTTAACTTTGAATATTAGATATGACCTTAAAATAACAAGGGAAGGTTGGCAAGTGAGCTGATGTATTATGATTTGTCATTACTTGTACTTTACTCTTTAATAATTGAACTTAACTTTGTAATTTTCTGTTTTTTAATTGATTTGAATGGATAAATTATAAGAAAATTGTTGTGATCTATATTATGTTGCTTTAATTTAAATAATTTTCTTATGTATTTTTTTTTTTGAACAAATTTACTTATGTATTATTAATTAAATGATCAAATGTGAAATTATATACTCTTTTTTGAAATTTTGAAATAATAAACTGCAATATTTATTAACACAATTAATTATTTTAATTCAAATTATATAGTTAATTATTTTTTTTTCTTTTGAATTCGCATATATTCAAATTTTCTACAATTGGTTTCATTTGTTTACATAACATAATTCGCAAATTTTTTATATTGGTTTCGTTTGTTTCTATAAAATAACTTACAAGAAAATATTTTTCATAATTTTCCGCTATTTGAGGGGTTCGGATAAATAAGTCAAAGGAAAACTAAGTCATTTTTAAGCAAAATGACTTTTTATTTTTAAGATAGGAAAAAAATTTACAAAGATTGATAAATTTTATTATAACCTTATAAATATATATTTTTTAAAATTTATTAATCATCACTAGCCATCACTATCGTTCACTGTCAACCACCACCATAGACCACCGGTCACCCTTGACATTTACAATTTACCATTTTTTTTCACATTTTTCTCATATTTACTAATAAAATTTTTGAAATAGGAAACTTTATTATTATAAATATTTTTATCGTCTTGTGAGTTAAAGATTTTAATATTTTTTAACTAATTTTTAATATTGCAACCGAAGAAAGGAAAATAAATCGTTTAAAAATATTTTGCGAAAAAAAAAATTTACAAAGATAAGTTATTTTTCGGAAGGAGATGAGGTATAAGAAAATTTAATTTTAATAAAATAAATTTTTAGTGAATTGAAGTTATATTTTAATTCTATTTGTTACCGCAACTGCATTATTTAATTAATGTTTATTAACTACAAACTATTAACTATATTATAACTCTATTAGGTTTTATTTATTTTTTTATAGAAAAAATATTTATTAAATGTTAAAAATATTAATTATCATGAAATTATTTCATTATATTTATTAGTTTTTAACTCCATTAGTTAATAAAAAAAATTTAATTTTTATTGAATGCAAAAAAATTAATTATAATAAAAAATAAAATGTCACATCATTACTTTTATATTTTAATATGTTACCACATAAATATTCATGCTTTAAAAATTATATATTTATTATATAGATCAAGAATTTAAGTACATGGGAAAAGTTAAAATTTTTAATACTTAACATTTAAATTTTGACTTTTAAATTTGAAATCTTTAATATTCAGTTTTATCAAACAATTAGGCCACTGCTCGGCAATGACATTTTATGTAATATTTAATGTTTTTATTAATATTTAGAGTTATATTAATGTTTAGAATTTAAGGAAGAGAATTATCAAACGTCAGTAAACAGCTAATAATTACTAAAATAATTAATTTTACCGATCAGAGTTTAGAGTGATTACAACCTAAGATATAATTGAAAAAAAAAGTACAATTTTCATTTGAATAATTTATCAAAGCACAAAACTCAAATTGGCATTTGAATTTATTATATAGAATTCTCAATTCATTTCTTAAATTTATAATTCATATGACACTATTTGTAAAGTATTTTGAAATGTCAAGATACTATTAATGAATCTTCGTATCTTAGAATATTCTCGGGCCTATATGTGGCTACAATGAAGACGTCCACCATGTGTTTGATTGAATATTCCAATTACTTGGCACATACGGGTTATACTCTTATGCAGTCAAATTTGGAGCCTCTGCAGCACTGCAGGAAGGCTAACTATAAATCTAGAAGGAATAAACAATGTCCACTCATATTACATATACGAACACGCAAACCTGTTAAAGAAAGAAAAGGAAGTCTATAGAGATGGAAATTATGGAGGACGTGGTGATAGTTGGTGCGGGAATAGCAGGGCTTGCAACCGCAGTGGCCTTGAAGAGAGTTGGGGTTCGATCTTTGGTACTAGAGAGATCAGAAAGACTACGAACTACAGGTGCAGCCTTAACTCTTCTTCCAAATGCTTGGCTCGCCCTTGATGCTCTTGGCGTTTCTCATAAGCTCACTTCCATTTATAATCCTACCTTCAGGTACTTATGTCTCTAAAACTTATTATGTTCTTTTGTTGAACTGAATTTGAATATTTACTAAATAATATTCTGCCTTTTCCAATTATTAGAGTAGTGTTAACAGATGTGGCTACTGGAGCTGTTCAAGATACCTTGTTCCCAGAAAATGGGTAAGCTGCCGAAATTTGGACATTTCTTGCTCTTAATTCAATTCAATAATTATTTTTGATTTGAAACAGAGCTAAAGGACATGGACCCAGATCAGTTCATCGGACAGCTCTATTAGAGGCTCTAGCAGAAGAGTTGCCTGCTGATTCAATTAGATTTTCTTCTAAGTTTACTGCAATTGAAGAGCAAAAACAAGAAGGGGCTCCCGTTGTCGTTTTGCATTTGGAAGATGGAACTACTATCAAATCTAAGGTACCTACATATCATATCTATATTATGAATTAAAATTTTATCAATTTTTATATATGTTTCTAACAATGTATTCTGTTGTAGGTTTTAATAGGGTGTGATGGGGTGCACTCCGGCGTAGCAAAATGGTTAGGACTCTCTGCACCAATCCATTCAGGTAGAGCAGCAGTGCGTGGAGTGGCAGTTTACCGAGAAGGCCATGGGTTTAAGCAAGAAGTATCGCAGTTTATAGATGTTGGCAAAAGAGCTGGTTTTGTCCCTCTAAATGACAAACAACTCTACTGGTTCCTCACTTGCGCTGAAGGTTAGCACTTTTTCTTGAAAGCTTTCCGTTTGGTTATATGGACACTAATACAGGATACGGTATGAATACAGAACACAGTAATTTTTTTTTTTTTCAAGAAAATGAAGACATGATACATTCAATAATATCAAACTAAATGGACTTATTTATAGAAAATAACTTAGCTTGGGAAAATATTTTTCAAGGAAAATGCTTTCCTTGATACATATTTTTTAAATAATATATTTTTCGTTGTTTAGTTAAAATATGAAAGTTAGTTAAAAAATATTAAAATTTTTAACTCATAGTATCATATAAATATTTATAATGATAGAAATTTCGTATTTTAAAATTTATTACTAAATATGAAAAAGAAAATGGAAATCTAATGGCCGATAGTGGTGGCTAATAGTGGCTATGACTGACTGTAGTGGCTATTGGTGATTAATAAATTAAAAATGTATATTTATAAGATTATAATAAATTTATCAATATTTGAAAAATATTTTCCTCTCTTAAAAATAAAAAGTTATTTTTCTTAAAAATGATTTAATTTTCTTTTGATCAGAAAATATTTTCCATTAATTTATTAATATGTGCATCCCAAATAACAAAAAATTTAAGAAAAAATTTCTGTAAGTTATTTTACTGAAACAAATAGCGTTTTAATATATGGACTCACAACATAAATCAAATTAATCAAAAATAATTTTTTGTTCAAACGAAAATATTTTTTATCATTTATCGTGAACAAAAGGATGAAGGAATAATAATTTCTAAAAAAACTCTTCTTTAATTGTCTTGATGTATAAATGGTTTCATAGCAAATTGTTGGTTCGGCTCAAACCGAACTGAACTAAGATGGAAAAACATAAAATTGAATTTATCGGGAGTGAATCTAAACCGAGGTGTTATCTAAATTGAATTAGTCGATATGGGCAATTTTTTCCTTATCGATTTGATTTTAAGCGCTACCATCTACTTCCGGTATAATTGAGCCAAATCAAATAATAATTTTAATTCCAATCGAATTTCTCTTGAGCAGGTTGAAGGAACCGAAATGGATTGATTCAATTTTCGGTTCAATCGATTAATTTACACCCCCTAATTCCATAAACTTGAGTATAAGCAAATGATATCCTAGTGAAAAATATAATTTATTAAAAAAAAATGAAATATGCAAACAATCATCCCTAACTAATAATCTATCTTAATTTTTCCAGGAGAAAACATGGCAAGAGACCCTGAAGAAATACAAAAAGAAATCATGAACAAGTATGCAAAAGATTTTCCCTCAACATACCTTGACGTGGTTCGACATGCTGATCTGTCAAATTTATCATGGGCCCCATTAACGTTAAGAAAACCATGGGATGTCTTATTTGGAAAACTAAGCAAAGGAAACGTAACAGTGGCTGGTGATGCAATGCACCCAATGACACCTGATCTAGCTCAAGGCGGCTGTGCAGCACTGGAAGACGCTGTCGTTTTAGGCAGACTTATTGGAAATTCATTTATTAAAAATAATGGTAGACTTGTCTCAAATGACATGGCTGGAGTTCTGAATGAGTATATTAGAGAAAGAAAGTGGCGTGTTGCTACTTTGATCACTGGTTCGTATTTGTCAGGGTGGGTCCAACAAAGTGGGTCCCAAGGATGGAGGAAATTTTTAAGGGATGTTATATTTTATGGGCTCTTATTTCCTATTGTCTTTAAAGCTGTTCGTTCTTATGATTGTGGGACATTGCCTAGTGTCTCTGCCTCTGATCACCTTCAATCTTCATCCAGCAAGACAGACTGAGATTGAATCAGCGGTTTCTTCTCATGAGTTGGGTTATTTTTATTATTTAATTAATTTTCTTATTTATTTACTTTAATTAAGTTTGTTATGATTTCAATGAATAAATAAATCTTTATAAAGATTTATAAATAAATTAATAACAGTATTATTCCTCATTGTTCAGTTGTTTCCTTTAAACATAAATTAAAGAATAAATCGTGATCATCAAAACTTTCATATTAGCAAAAAATCCTTCTTTGATTGAGTTGGTTCGACTTAATGAATCAGGTTAGAAAAATACATTCCGGCATTGAAATCGAACTGAGATGTTATCTGAATCAAACTAGTCTGTTTGGAAAATTTTTGCAGTTTAACTGACTAATTCCTGTATAACCGAGCCAAACCAAACAATAATTTTGGTTCCAACCAAATTTCTCTTGAGCAGATTGACTGAATCGAAATGTTGCTCATCATTATTTTAATTTTTAATAAAAATAATTAAAATTAATAAATTATAACTAAAATTATATAAAAAAAAAAGTTGATAGTTAATAAACCAAATTTTTATTCTTTTGCATCTTTTGCTAAGCTTCCGCACAGCCACATTTTCTTCCTCTGCCTCAATAACAAACAGTTAGGTGTATATGTGGCAGTTCCCTAAAGTTAGGTGGGTGCATTCCAGTAAATATGTATAAAGTACCTTATTATTGTAAAATTCAGCCATTTGCCAACTTTCTTCGACATGTGCAATTGGCATGTTCATATCTTATATACCACAGAAAAATCTAGATCAAAGACCATAAAATAAAAAATTATATGCTATGAGATATAAAATATAAATTTCACAAACACAGTCTTTTCCTGTATCAGCAGCAGAGTTCAAGTGGTTAAAGAAATCAGATCTTCTCACCTCTATCTTTGCACTTGCATTCTTCATTCAATAATTTGAGAAATGATGTTCTAAAAGCAAAAATTTGTATTAGGGATATATTAGAGACATACATAACATTTTTTTTTCCTGCTTGAAATTATATTGAAAAATAAAAAGAGTTCATACAAACATAAATTTTTGAGTGCCAATAATTAATAAAGGCAACAAACAACGCTAAAAGAACAAATTGATGGGTGCATGTGATTAGAAATTGATGCCAAAGAATAGTTTTTGTTGCAATTCAAGTCAATGACATGTACTAATGACGTTCCGTGCACTTCAAATATTTATTTAAAGATATTTTTTGCTTCAGAATTTTATATATAATATTATATAATATAGATAGATATAGGTAAATAAGGTCTTGGTCCTTGCTGAAAACTCTTTATATCTTTCTTGTATTAATGAAATAAAGAAATTCTTTATTCTTGCAGTTTAAGACCAGTGCATGGTACTTGTGATTGGATAAAGGATGTTTTGCTCTCCAAAAAAGCACCCAACAGGAATGCTCTGGCTTGAATGCCATAGTACTTTAATAGGTCGCTCAGCACACTTGCAATAATTTGAACATAACAACAAAATCAAATCCCTTACAACAAATTAAGAGTTAAAACTTCGAAACACTTTGGTTTACTAATTGCGGCAGCGATCGAGAGCTTGTGGCTAGCGATTGGAGTGTAGCAAATTGTTATAGTAAAAGCCCGATATCACAGGCCCTTCAGAAAATGACAGCAGCAACTCATAAAGCATCCAACCTAAACAACTGAATCACATAAAAGTGATTCTACGATGGACAGAAAGCAGCTGAAGTGTTATTCTTGGAAGCATTTGTGCCCAGTCAATCTGTTTGAAGTGCTGAAGATATTGGTTATAGAAGAAATAGCTAAGGTGGAAGCTGAGACTACTTATGATGAGCGTTGAAAGTCATTATATGCTCCTCGCTTGTTCTACTCCTTTGTGGGAACCGATGAAATTATGTGTCCAGGTGCTGTGACTGAGAGGTACTTCTTGGCTGATCAATGTTGCTTTCCAGTGCAAGGTTAACTTGATCCTCTACATTTTTAGAGCACGTTGGATTGTTCATCGTATGCCCAGTTGTTTGTGCAGGGCAGTTTCGAGCCATTGGAGACTCTTCAGATGTCCTATTCTTCTTCATCATTGAGTGAAAATTGTGTTCCAACTCGTTCTCACACCAGCTTCTTTTGAGATCTACTGAAAGCGATTCCTTTTGACAACTTAAGGATCGAGTAACACTTGGATCTTCCACTACTCCATCCCGCTTGCAAACCAGATAGGCTCCACACTTCTTCAGGATAGAACCCATTGATGCTCCTAGAAATTTGAATGAAACTTCAAAGTGAACTACACCATTCTGCTTCACAGGCAAACCCTTAATAAGTCGACGTGGGAGATAGTATAACCACACATGATCCGACTCTAATGAAAAGAACTGTCTTGAAAACATTATCACGTTTAGACCATTGATGAGAACTTCACGTGATATATTTGCTGTCTCTCCATCCTTCAAACTTAAAATGGCACAAAGAACCAATGCTCTGATTTTCTCACACTTATTTGAAGGTACTTGGAAAGACAATGAGTTTCCTTCACTAGTGCGGAACCACTCTGGAATCTCACTTCCAGGGAGAAATATTTCAATTCGAAGGTCCTGACGAAATTTCTGTTGCATGAAAATTACCAAATTAATGAAAGTGCTAATAAAATAGAAAATTAAATGAAAAAGTAAGCTGAGAAGGGCATTTGGTTAACATCATAACAACAACAAAAATTCATACACACACAAGCGCACACACACAGAGACACTTTTGCAGGGAGAGACAGCAAGAGCTGGATGAGGGTACATATGGCAAGTACTAATAAAGGTAGAAGAAAAGCTAACCTTACTCCGTAATGCATTGTCCAAAAAATTGCCTTCATTTTTAGCAAGTTTATGACAGTTGGAGAAGTCAATATCATGGAGTCTGTTTGGCTTTTCTTGTTTATTAGATTCAAATACCCTTGCTAATTGTGAAAATCTTTCAAGTGATTCACAATCTCTTGCTTCTACTCTCTTAATTTTCAGTGGAAGCTCTGGAATTTCTCGAATATTCTTGCACTTCGATAATTTGAGGCTCCTCAAGTTATGAAGCAGGCAAATGCTTGGCGGGAGAGTAGCAAAATCATTTCCTGTCAGATCCAAATCTTTCAAAGCGGAAAAGCATTGATGCTCCATTAGGAAATTGATTCCCAGAAGATGGCAATTTTGTAGATCCAGACATCTTAACATTGGAAATCCTGATGAAGAATGGCTACCAAGAGCCACAGGAAACTCATCAAGTCTTGAGCAACCTTCAAGAAGCAGAAGCTTAAGATGTCCCAACTTATAAATGCTACTCGGAAGAATGGTTAGGTTTTTGCAATATGTCAGAGTTAAGACTTTAAGTCCAGTGAGATTTTCAATTGATGGAGGAAGAACTTTTATTGCAGTTCCATTTAGACAAACTCTCTCCAGCAATTTCATCTTTTCTACAATAATTGGAAAAGCCTCAAGTTTTGTGCATCCAGTAAGAAGAAGCGTTTGAAGAGATCTCAGTTTGAACCTACTAGGAAGACTTCTTAGGTTATGGCAGAACTCAAAGCTCAATAACTCAAGTTTATCAAGATATCCAACAGATTCATCAACCTCAACTAAATTTGAACAACCTCCAAGATTCAACCTCTCAAGATTTGGGATGAATGAGAAGTCCGGGGTTTCTACTAAGGATTCACAGTCTCTCAAATCCATAAATTTCAAATTGTTGTAATTCTGTAAAATACACAAGAAAATTAAAATTAATATTAAATAATTTCTAAAACTGCTGTACTTTAATTTATAGAAAGAATTAGAAATGCTGAGCAAATTATATTACCTTGAATCCCTCTCCAAATTGCCTGATGCAGCCACGATGCATGTTAAGTCCAACAAGTTTTCTCGCACAAAATCCAGATGGCATTGATTGCAAAGGACATGAGGGCCATTCAAGCCACCTTAATTCATTAGGGAGATCCATAGGGCCTCCAGTAACAGTAATATGTGCATTGCGTATTAATAGTATTCGAAGACTTTTCATCTTCATAAAAGCTTCAGCATCCAACTGTATCTCTTTAGGTTCAGGTAGGTCCAGCAATATACCTTCAATGTCATCTGTTCCCTAACAATCCCAAGTACAAATAAACCAAATAACATATAGAAATTAGTCAAACAACAAAGATGTTTGTTGTGAACAAGAAGCTAAATAATAGGTATTGCTTCTATACTTAGTTTCTGTCAAATGCTCAGCACATAGAATAGCAGAAACACTATTTCAACATATGGATCTTACCGTATTTCCTGTCAGTACCCGAAGAACATCCTCATGAAACCACAATCTTGTGCGCCTGTTAGGATTGGAAGACTCCTGGCAAACAACTTCCCTGCCCATTGATTGTAGTAAAGCATGCATATGTATTTTATTGTTTTCTATGCTTATCAAGGACTTCTCAATGAGAACTGGTACTCCGATATCTGGGTTGAGACCACATGCATCTAGAATTTTTATCACTGCATCTTTGTCCATCCCTTTAAAGAAACAGGCGATATCAAGGAAAATGGCTTTCTGGTAAGGCTCCAAGCCATCATAACTTATTTTGAGTATATCATTTATCTTTTTGTTGGGACTTTGTTTCAGTTTAGCTATTTCACTTTCCCATTCAAGCACCTTTCTTTGATACAAAAAAGAGCCCAGCACAACAAGAGCTAATGGAAGACCATCAGCATAATTTACTATCCACTGGGCAAGCTTCGAATACTCTTCTGCAGGCTGTGGTTTCTTAAATGCATTCCGACTAAAAAGCTCAAGAGCATTCTCAGGAGATAATTCGTCAACCTTATGTATTCTTTCCACTCCATGGAAAACTAGCAAATGTTTATCCCTAGTTGTGATAATGAGTCTACTTCCCAAACCAAAACAATTTAGTGCAGCTAACTTTTCCAATTGGTCAACATCATCCACATCATCAATAACAATAAGAACCCTTTTCCTGCTTAACCTCTCCTGTATGCAATTGATTCCTCTAGCAAAGTTGCCCAACGATACATTTTTATCTCTTAACATCTCAATAAGAAGGGTTTCCTGCAGTTGACCAACACCATATTGCTCTGACGTTCTTCTAACATTTTCAAGAAAGCAGCTGCCTTCAAATTGATTAGCAATTCTGTTATAAATGGCTTTGGCAAGAGTCGTCTTGCCTATTCCACCAATTCCACATATCCCTACCATGAGAACATCTCTTACCCCAATGCTTAACATATGTATCACCTCTTGCACATGGGATTCTAAGCCAACAGGATGCTGTGGAACAGGTAACAATTTGCGGTTCAGTTTAGTTGATACATTCTCAACAATGCTCTGAATAAATTTAGCCTCATCCCTGACAATTTGAAACACAATAAGCAAGGCCAAGACAAAAAAGAAACATACTAATCAACAATGAGTTTTTTTTGTCACAAGTGAAAAACTCAATTTCACAGAATAGTCAAAATTTAAATAGATTAAGAAATGAATTTGTCATGTTAACATAGATAATTAAATTTCAATCAGAATGCAGTGTATTTCAGTTCTTAAAAGTAGTATCTCCATGAATTTGAAACTATTTCACCATCAATTTATCCACTCCAACGTTACAATTATTGTTTCAATATCCCAACTAAAATCATATGTAAATTTATACAAAAAAAAAAAAATCTCAAGTGTAAACAGACTAATCAAGAACTAATTTTGTTTGCCACAAGTGATAAATTAAACTTCATAGATTACGCAAAATTTGAATAGATCCAGAAATAAACTTTTCACGTTAACTTTTTCAACTAAACAAAAACCAAACTACATTAAATTTTAAATTGTTCCATAATTTCCTCTTTCTACACTATTTATCATTCCAAACATCAAAAGTAAACACATAAATATTTATTTAAAAAAAAATCCCAAGTCAAGAGAAAACATAATTACTCATTATGCAAGGGATTTCCAGCCAATTTAGCAGCTTTAACAAGAGCTTCTCTCCACCTTTTCTCCTTCTCCGAATTCCCAACATCAGCTACAAGTTTATCCAATGCTTTCCCAAACGTTCCAGTCTGCTTCCCTACATCAGCTGGAAGCACCTTATAAAAGATAGGTAGAACCACATGCCCTTTCAATTCATTACAAGCAAACATCATTGTCACCAATTCATCCAAGCAATGAGACGACGATGCATAATCTTGAGAGAAAACGACAATTGAAATTCTTGATCCTTTGATTGCATCGACAATCGCTGACGTAATCTCTTCTCCTCTCTCAATCTTGTCATCGATGAAAGCGTTGATTCCTTTGCTGCAAAGAGCGTGATAGAGATGGCTTGTAAAGTTAGTGCGAGTTTCTTCGCCTCTAAAACTCAAGAACACATCGTATTTCCAAGGATTAGAAGAGGAAGAAGAAGGGATAGCCATATTTAGCTAAGCACAATGCAAGATTTTTTTTGGCGATCGTTACATTTCATTCTTGTTCATATAGTCAACGGAAGTAAAAAAGAAAGAGTATTCACTAGAGAAAAGTATGCATTTCCTGTCTTCCACCTTCCAAGAAGTTAATCAACCGCGTTGGGTCCGCCAAAGAAGATATAAAATTACGGGAATGGAAAATTAAGATTTTACCCTTGTGTTTTGTCACGATTAATTAGTTTACTCTCCTATTTTTTAAAATATACTGCTCTATCTCTATATTTTACTTTATTAGACTACTATACCCTTCCCTCCAAATTCTATACTTTTTCTCTTCTGCATTTCAACTTTCTCCCTATTTCCATCTAAGCTCTCTAATCCAGAAAAAATAAATAAATAAATGGATTTCCAATGCCGAAGTTACTTCCAGCTTCAGCAAAACCATCCAATATGCAATTGTTTATTTATAGCCATCTGGAATCAATATAAAATTACAACATTATATTTCTAGGATTGTGTTATAGAACCCTCTCAGATACAAATGTCGCACTTTTAAAAGATTTATGAAAGAATATAAGATTTTTTCGAGAGAAAAGAGCCAAACACTCTACCAGATCCATCAAATGCTTCTCATTGTGCAATCCTAATGGAGGAATCATTCCTTTTGAGAACCAAATATTGTTAGCCCTCTCCAGTAAGGCAATAACTACTCGATTAGAGCTTCAGACTCAAATGGAGTTAAGTTTGCTTTTTATTTTTTTTTTATTTTTTTTATTTTTTTTTTCTAGGTCAGATAGTTGAGATGGAAGAAGGAGAAAGTTCAGATGTAAAAGATGAGGGTAATTTTGCCATTTTTTTTGAAAATTAACACCAAAAGGTACAAAATTTTGACGGAAGGGCAACATAGTTTAACCGAGATAAAATTCAGGGACTTTTAGTGTATTTTTAAAATTACGAGGGTAACACTAAAGTTAATTTTGATAAAATATACGGATAAATCCATAATTTTTTAAAAATTATTTTTTTAATTAAAAAATATATATAATATATCAATTCTATATCAGAGTAATTACTATATAGTCCCTAAATTTTTATCAAATATACTAAGGACTTAGTTTTCAAAATTATACTTTTTAGTTCTTGGATTATAATTCTTTTATACTAGAAAGTTCAACATTTAATTTTACTTAAATATTAAAAACACTCTTAAAGATAATTCCTATATGGTGGGCTAGATAGTGCAAAATTACTATTATATTCTTATATTTCTCGAAATACAATTATTCCATCTCTGCTTTAAAATGCTTTTTAAAATCCTGTATTTTCATTCCGTCATAAATTTCAGTCGTTTTGTCACAAGTTTCAATCCTTCCATCAGTTTCCTCTAATTTTTCCAATAAGTAAATTGGAAAATGACATAATTAACTTTATAAGCATAAAACAAAAATGAATAGAATGTGTTTGGAGGTCAATAACAGACGCCTCCTTCCTCTTCTTCTTTCATGATGCCCAGAAGACATTAGAGAAAACTTTGAAACTGTGGATCTCTAGGACTCTATTCTCAAATTGATTACATGTAAAGAAATAAAATAAAAAGAAAGTCCAAGATTTTGTGATAGCTCAATTAATTGAGAAACAAAAAACAAATAGTAAAAACAAATCAAACATCCAATATAATTGCTCAATCAAGAATGTGCTCAAATCTGAACATGTGTAAATTGATTTTAAAGATCTGTCATCTATCATTGCTAGGCCTCGATAAACGTAATCGGAAGAACAAATAGAAGGTAAAGAAACCATTCTCGAATCCTTCAGTGGGAATCCAAAGATCAAAGGTCGCCTCATAAGGTGACAGAAGTAATTACCATTATTGGCCCTGACGCCCAGCTCAAACGGAGAGGCATAGCTTGATATGAGAAGTGCTACTTTGATTCGGATAGACTTCATTCAAGAATGCCGCCGTCCCAACAAGAAAACAAGTGCTAAGTTTTAGATTATTGAATAAATCGAAACGAAAGAAGAAACGTTTCTCGCTCAGCGCCTAAAGCGCACTATACCCCGCTTCAACAAATGAGAATTTTCGGTGGAATCGATGAACCACGCAAGATCCTTAGATGCGTGGGACAGAGGGCTCACAGTACCTGCTAGCTGGAATTAAAAGTTTCAGAGAAGCTGTTCGCTCGTCGGTGTATTTTGGTGGGGACGATGGCGAAACCGAAAATGATAATGGTAAAGCAATAACGAGAAGGAGAGCCAACATGTTGTTTAGATCTACTAAGACATAGCCAAGGTAATGAGAAAAAGCAATGAGCTTGTCGATATATTCTCCAATGACAATGGCAACTCCGGTGATGGTTCTGGCGATGTAATAGTGGCGACAATCTTACTTGAGTTTTAAAAGCAGCATCCTTAACTAGAGAAAGCAATGAGCTTGTCGGTATATTCTCCAACGACAATGGCGACTCCGGTGGTGGTTCTGGCGATGTAATAGTAGCGACAATCTTACTTGAGTTTTAAAAGCAGCATCCTTAACTAGAGAAAGCAATGAGCTTGTCGGTATATTCTCCAACGACAATGGCGACTCCGGTGGTGGTTCTGGCGATGTAATAGTAGCGACAATCTTACTTGAGTTTTAAAAGCAGCATCCTTAACTAGAGAAAGCAATGAGCTTGTCGGTATATTCTCCAACGACAATGGCGACTCCGGTGGTGGTTCTGGCGATGTAATAGTAGCGACAATCTTACTTGAGTTTTAAAAGCAGCATCCTTAACTAGAGAAAGAAAAAACGCAGGACAGATTGTATTTCGATAAATACATAGACGTAATAGTAATTTTTCTTTTCAAACTGTAGCATTTAAAGTATTTTGTATTTAAATAGTGTAATATTATTCTTGTGTTTTAATATTTAATTTTTATTTTAAAATTGTTTTCGGATTTTTCCAGAAATTAATAGTATAAAAATAATTTGAATTAATTTTTTTGTGAAGTAATTATTTTTTAAAACTAAGAGTTCTAAATAAAGTACATTTATGAGAACAATTTCAACTATTAAATTATTTGTAAATTTTAAATTTATATATATTTGTTATCAAGGGCAATCCAAGGGATTCCCCCTAAGGATTTTGAGTGATATTATTTTATATATTTACCTATAATTATGCATTTTGCATTTGGTAGGTGTTAAAATATAATTATTGCAATCAACAAGGTCTTATCGAGTTGCTCTTTTCATTAACATAACGAGTGAGGTGTCTTATGTTCGAATCTTTTCAACTATAAGAATTTTCACCAATTTAGTGAGTCAATGGCTACACATAACACGTTTTAACCTGAATCTCCAATTTAATGGATTTAAAAATGTAATAGGTTGAGATGAGCGGATCATCTTTACGTTTTACTGGCTGAGTTGAATTACAAATTCACTAAATAAACTTGTTGACTCCATCCAATCCTTAATAATATCAAATAAATATGTTTGTAGCTATGAATTATTTGAGTTAATTTAATTTAATTTATAATTTTAAATATAAATATTAAATTATTTACATATTTTTCGTGCCTTACTCTTTTTTATTTAAGAATGACCTTATTTTTTAAATTATTATTTTTAATGGAAACTTATAAATGTTATTGCTGTAACATATCGTAGTTTAAATTTATTGTATAATTATATTTCTAAGTAGTTGTAATATTATTGATGGTATTTCTTATTAAGAAATTTTCATTATTCTCACTTCTTGGTAACTTCTTTTTAAATATTGCTATTGAAATATACTATGGTTTTGAAAATTGTTATATGATAATGTTTCTAAGGACATTTAACTTTGCTGGTTATTCCTCTTAAGCATAATTTTACTTTATTTAAAATTATTTATCACTTAGTTGACTTGTGGATTTATACTGAATCTACATTTAATCCAACCGTTCATATCTCGCAGTTTCATAGAATTGTAAAATATTTAAAAATATCATAAAATAATAATAATTGGAGCTATTATTTTGTAATCCGGCAATCTAAAAAAACAGTATCGATTTACATAAAATAGCTATGTATAGTAAGAAGTATTATAAGATATTGACAATCAAAGCTATTATTATAAAATGTAATCTAACAACCTTATAAAAAACAACTTTCAGATTATAGAGAATTATTATAAAATGTTTGTAATAGGAGATTTTATTTTATAATCTAGTAACTTTGCAAAAAATATTATTTTATCCTTTCAATTGTTTTTACTAATTTAATGAGCCAAGAGGAAGGTCACCCCTTTTATGTAGCCACAGTATTATTTTGATCTATTGAGCCTCCAATGAATTAAAAATAGTCATTTTTTACAAAATGTTAATAGTATTATAATATATATACTATCATGCTTATTATTTTATAAATCTCACTTTTTACCTTAAACATTCATCTTTTACAAAATATTATAAAATATTGATGAAAATGTTCATTATTTTGTTAAAAATTATTTTACAAAAAATAATTATTTTCATAGAATATTATGAAATATTTGAAATTATTATACATTATTAATGCTTAAAAATTTAGTTTACCATAAAAATTTGATTGCCTTGATTTTCCTTCAAGGCATTGTAGAAAATGCGATGCTGCTAACTAAATTTAATTAACTTTAAAAATAATTTATTAAACTTCGTGTACACAAAATTTGAAATGTAGATGAACAATAAGAGGACACAGTGATATATTGAATATACTGAATAATTTTCATTTTTACTGACCAAGAACTGATTTTAATATATTTTACTTTTGATCTTTTTTAATTTTTCCTGATCTTTTAAAAACGTTTGCATTGCCGGAGGCCCTGAGCTTCCAGCATCAACACACTTTCACCTAAGATATTTTCCTTAAACAACATTTTCAGAAGAAATACGTTTATGATATAATTAATCAATGGTTATGCTAAATGATGAAATTACATTGCTTCATTAAACCATCCTTAAAAGGGGGGGGGTTTTATGCTAAATGATAGAATATTTTCATTGCTTCATTAAACCATCCTTAAAAGGGTGGGTGGGTGTGCGAGACGAAAAGGAAAACCTAATGCATGACAGGAACCATCTTGGTTATCTTCTTCTTCCTCGCAGATGAGCAGGAACTAAAAACCTCTCAATCTACTTACATAATTTTACGTTCTTAATAAAAATAAATGTGCTCTAGAATCTGGGGGGGGGGAGAAAGGAAAAGAAAACCTAATGCAGACAGAAGCCATCAGGTATCTTCTCTTCTCTGCAGAATGAGCAGGGAACTAAACCTATTACATAATTTTGTTCTTAATAAAAATAAGGCAGTATTCTCCAAGGAACAAGTCTCCGGTATTCAGCCCATATTTCTTTATACTTCTCGGCACATCGAGCCTCGTCCCTTCTCTCTCTCCATATTAGCAGAATAAGAAGATAAATCGGATAAAAATATGGAACAAGGGAACTGCAAAAGAAATAAACTCTTAAAATTTAACTGTCTACCTTGGAATGGTGTCGATGTAAAGTCTAACACCCAGTTTCGTACAAATTAATTTCAAAGCACAGAATTCATTTATAAATATGATAAAATTCTGTTTAGTTCTGTTGAATCTCATAAAGTTTAATCTTTAGGAATTCCAGAAAATTTTATGAAGTTCATTTATACCAAGTAGAATGAAGGAGTTGCAAAGTTACCTTGTCCCACAAGGTAGACTAAATGACAGCGCCAACAATAGGTCTCCAAGATAATTACAATGTCTTGCAATCCCCCTTCAGCAAATCAACACAATGTCAAGAACACTTTAATTATACTGAGCCACATATTTCTATCACAATAGAAACTCAACAAAACCATAAACCTCCAGGAAGAGCTTATGTGACAGCAGCTCCCGACTGGTTTGGAAATATGTTTTGACAAACAGGTGAGGCCACCTATGCATCTTAGAGCCAAATCAAACAATACTAAGCCAGTCAATAGGTTGGCTTCTTTACCTCATGTTATGAAACACTGCAGGAGAACCAGCCGAGGTTGAATGATTACTTAGATAATGGTCCATTTGATTACTCAGACATGGATTTAGTCGATTTTTCTAATAATTACAGACAAATCGAATGGCAACATAACAGGTTGATAAGGACACATAAAAACTGATATGACACATTAATACCCAGACAGAAAGCTTACCAATAACCAGAAGCAAGCAATTTTCCACCAACAACCCTTGGTGGCTTACCCCATATGAGGGCTTTTGGATTCTTTTTGAAAACATGCTTTTGCTTGTTAGCTCCTCTAAAGACCAGATACCTGCCCAGATTACAAGAGCAACTTTTACCTAATAATTTTGGAACAAATGAAGTTGAAGCTTCCAGGACAGCTACTTGTTGCCAGAAAGTTACCCAATCAGAAAAACAAAGCAATTTGCTATTACAGCAGCCATTGTTAACTCCACTTTGTTTCCCAAAAGCCACCAACCCTACAAGAATTAACAGTGATTGATAAACTAAATGTTGTCTATATGGTTTTACACAAGATATGCCAAGTATTCCACAGTGGTCATAGCAAAAGTTGAGAGAGAAACCAAAATTGCTTGACCTTGAAAAATCACCTCGTGCTTCACCACTATAGTTTCTAAATTTCTGTAACCAATCATGCTGAGAGATATCTTCATCTCAAATTAAGTCAAAACTGTTTATAGTTCAGTTGATCTTGTGCCAAGAACAAAATCATTCTTAGTCAATTATGCACATCACAATATACTATCTTCACAATAGAAACATAAAACTATAATGCCTAGGAGGGGTTTCCTTTTTATTCTCTCTGGAAATGGAACCTCCGTTGTTCTACTTTTCAAAACTTTACAGAAGTGTCTAGTTCAAAATCATAATTTAAATACCCAGAGAATGCATGTGTCTTAGATACAGAGAAATTATTACACGTCATCTAAAGGTCAGGTTCATAACTACATGCCTGGATGCTAAACGTGAATGGAATCCAAACAAGATCACCAAATACTAGCATGAAGCCCAATCTCTCTGCTATTATGTCCCATCTACAAAGAAAATGGATCAGATATGTGAATTAAATTTATACGAGTGGATGAGCATCTTAAAAACAATTTATAAAATGGACAAGGAAAGAGAAGCAGGCGGAAAAGATATCAAACAAGTTATGAATATAAAAGCAAGACTGCAAGACCATATAAGTATGTATGTATGTATGAAAACATTATTTCCATAACTAGTGATGAACAGATATATACTGCAAATTCATGTTAACTAATGGGCATTGAATGTGCTACATCAGAACCAGATAAAGTAAAATGCTAGATCATTATTCAAAACTGGTGAGACTAATATTAGGACCAGACCTGCTATAGCCACCCATCCATGGCTGAGGTTAATCTCTTGTTCAATCAGTGAATTGAACCTCGACATGTTATCTTTGGGCTCAGAGATCACCTATTATTGATAATTACGATAAGTCAATGAAACAAATGGTGGCTTCCACATGGTGACATTACATTCCCAACCATCCGTCTCCTTGGACTTGAAAAAGATCCTCAATGCAATTAATTCTGTCTAAATTTAAATCTTGTCAATTTCCTGACAAACTTTATAATATCTAACCCTTACTAGTAAAGCTCTTTAGGTTGATCCATCTTCAGTTTAAGAGAGGTAAAATCCAACATATTGAAAAATGAACTGGGGCTAAAATATCAATCACAAGCATAAGTACAACTCATTGGAATTCACCTTCGGTTTGCATCAAAACCCAGCCACTCTCCATAGTATTTGTTAAAGAAATACCTTCTGTTTCCAGATATTATATGCAAACCGAGATTCAATATAACAGAAACAAACGTTGTAGGTTGAAGCATCTATATTTACAACTAAGGTGGGATCTGACATATAGGCTGACCTAAATTTGACCATATGTGTGGACACTTGAGTAAGAGACTCTGGCTTAGACGGTTAGACCTGGCTGACAAAAGCTTCAGCAACATATCTAAACACTAAACTTGGATAAGCTTATGGAAAACCTTAATGTAATTTAGCAATTGTAACCTTTAGCAAGTTTTTCAAAAACTATTATTTGTTCTCTCCTTTTACTACTTTAATTTTAGCTACTTGAGTCTATCTGACAATTAAAAAATGCTTTACTGAAAAGAGCCATTTTAGATGTCATTGGAGAAAGTAGTTTAGTAGTGTCATTTAGTTCTTGTAAAAGTTTTTATAATTAGAACATCTGAAATTCACCTTACAAGCAAAATTTAGTGACTTTTTTGTTGACATTTTTCAAATTATATTTTTACCAACAGTAGCTCAAACAACAATTCTATTTTTATTTTTGCTTTTCCGATTTTTATATATATCAATACTGAGTAGCATAGCAAATAAGCCATCTCAGTTTGTATTTGTCCTTGAATTGGAACACTTAGACTCAGGTGCAATATTTTTATAACATATTTAAATCTTAATCTCTCCCTTTTTTTTTCCCTTCTTTTGATGAGCAACTACGGGCACACCATATTAAAGCAAGAGGAAGAAGGAAAAGCATTTCAAAATAAATTATGGGTGTGATACAAGCCAAAGCACTCACGTGGAGGTCATGTATTCCTCATAAAAGAAGTAATCCAGGATGTATAACTGAAAAAAGGAGGCAGATAAAACTGATATTCAGCAGCAATCAAATCTGACATGGAATTAGATGGTGAAATAAAATAAGACACTTCCAAGCATCAGCAGATTACCCCACAGAATATTTGGTAAAGAATCATTGAACAGCTCAAGTTGGCATCCTGAATACTTTTTGCTAAAACTGATAGGTTGATAAATAGCCAGCCCATCATTCCAGCTCTAACAAAAAAGAACCTATAAAAGAGAACTTCGTTATTGTTAGTCTCCCATAGATGCCTCATTAGTTTAGTTGGATAGAAATGCTATAGAAGCCAGCAATGATGTTTTTATATGCATTAACCATCTTCTCCATGCTGTTAACAAAAAGAAACTAGAGATAAATGAGAATTATGAAATGCTTATGCTATGAGATCACGGAATGAAACTTCCTGCAAAGAAAGTCACCTAACAACTAAATATAGAGAATAGATCAATAAGAGATATAGATGAAACATATGTAACAATACAGTTACAGCCATCGCATTATAAATTGCATGCATATATGTTGGGCAAAGAAGAAACATATCCAAACAATCAGAAGAAGATTACATACTTGAGGTCAATGCCCAAGAAATGAGGATTGAGCTGTATTCCAAACCAGCTGTTTAATGAGAAAAAGCGTTAGCCTATTCGATCAAAGAAAGGAATTCTCACTGTAAATGTAATAGGCAGCAGAGGTGATAATCCTTTCATTTGTATAGGCAAATAATATATATTGAAGACCATCAAGTAAATAAAGTAGGCATTTAGGAGAAGTCACAATGAAGACAACAAAGCAAGACAGGAAAAAATATTGTGATAGAATAGTTGATCAATGCTTATATGAACAAACAGTAACACATAACAACTGGATCTAAGTTCTTTAAATGGATGGTAATTGGATTTGATGGTTGTATTTTAAATTAAAATCCCCTTAAGGAGCTTATTTCTGATCCTGCGTTGGATCACAGGATCCTGTTATCTAATTGCAAAGAAAGAAACCATAGCATGGAACATGATGAAACGGCAGATAGTAAATTAAGGGCTAGCTTGCCAATATTTTGTCCATGTTCAGATTGTTTTTCAAGTATGCACGGTAAATTGATAAAATATGTTATTCTTTCACCTACAAGAAAGACACCAAAATATTTTTAAAATGGGTGGTAAGATAGTCTTATAATAGCTTGCTTAAATCCTAATACTCAAGCGATTTTAAGCGAAGCAAGTTATTTTGTTAGACGTACAAATCATGTATTAGGTTCCCTGTAACATGAGGCTTAAGCGAAGAACCGTGGTTTTGTGAATTGCAACCAGCAGCGTAGAGTACCATCGCCACCTAGATGTTGAAAATGAAAAACAGAAATGAAAAGAGCTGAGTAAAAAGAAAAGCAATGCGAAGCAACAATCTTCAGTCAATAGATATCAGCATAATGGCATGCATGATACTGCTTTATTTGGAACATGCATCCAGAACACTATAATGAGTTCAATTGAAACAAAAGATATTTAATTTTTTAGCTTGAAGACTAACTTATCTTACTTAAACAGGCTAAAAGATGAAAGGACAAAAAGCATTCTAATCAATAACAGACAGAATTAGTTTCATAACAAAAGCATTCCATATGGATAAAAACTGTTTTAACATAAAGATATTTGGCATCAAACATGACTCTCTACTAATTTTTTTGAGAATTAAAAGGAATTTGAAAGTCGTACAAGTCCACTGATTCTTAATAATGATTAGCATTTTCACACTCCAAATCATACTAGGTGTAAGGTTGGAAATATTTCATATACATAGACAAAAAAAAAACATGTGCAGAACAGATATTCAGAAAGAAGTTTAAAGACCTGCAGATAGCGTATAGCTGGAAATTTAATTGGAACTTACAAGAACACTGAAAATAAAAGTTGCTGAAAGCAGCTCAAGTCCTCTCTCTGATATCACCTGCAAGCATTATTTGAATAGTAATATCAGTTGCCTTGCATTGAGGGCACAAACTAACCACAAATAAATTCAACTAGTGAGTTGCCACCAGTAAGCATTCTAGGTTTGTAACAGCATCTTTTAAGCAATCTCAACATCGAAAATTTTCAAACCAACTAAGAGAGTCATCTAACATGATCTTATTGATTATGAAATTCACCAAAATGCCTCCCATTTGTGGTAGTCAACAAAAGTTTAAAAAAACTTGTTCAAATTGGCAAATACATACAGTGGGTGATACAAGATCCATCTTAGCGCCAATCCCAAGAAGAGCGACCAGCAACAGCAACGATACCAACCCTATTACAGCCAAAAAAGAGAAAATACCGTAAACCCTACAAGCAATAAGCGTTCAAAAGCACAATTGAACAAATAAAATTGTCAATTTATTATACAAGTTTAGGGGAAAAGAACAAGAACAATAACAGACCATTGCAACGATAATAGAGACGAGAACCATCCTGCAGGGTCACTCCAGGAACAACTTTACCAGGCAATATAGATCCAGCAATAGCCAGATAAAAAAAGAAAAATGCTAGTACAACGACCTGTAAATGTAAATGAAAATGACAAATATCAATAAAACCTATTGAACTGAATCTGAAAATTGGAAGAAATTGAAAACAGTTAGTTGCCTGAGTACTTACTGAGTTCCATGAAGGAATGAGGGCGTGAAGAAGAAAACCCATATCCATTTTTTTATAAGTCTAAACTAATAAAGACCGTAGTTTGATACTTCAGTCGCTATTTCTCCGGCTTTTGGACTAAAAAAGCACTACCAGAGACTGATAGCTCTGCAGGAATCTTAAATTTGAGAGCACATGTTAGCTGCAGCTGCTAACCAGTGATGGTCCCGTTGGGCTGAGGAATATAGTAAAATCAACCCAACCTAATCAAATCGAAGCAATTTTCGGTTTGATTCGATCTGATTTTTTATCTGAATAGAAAAACTAGAAAATTTTTTAATTCAATTTGATTTTTATTATATAAAACAACAGTTTCAAAAAATCAAAAATTTTAAATCGAATCATATCAACTATATTTAATTTTATTTTATAAAAATTCAGTTGAATTTTTTTATACAAATTTATTTTATTAGTTTAATAATTGATTCAATATACCTCCAAAGATTTCTTTGGCTCATTGAATGGAACTTTTGAAATACACCTTCAAAATGTAAAATATCATTTGAATGTGTGAATTTAAAATAATGCTTTACGAATACATGTCTAAAATATTTTATTTTTTTAATATTAAAAGTGGATTGAATTGCTAATTTAATTGATATTGGCTGTGGTAAAGTGGTTGATACTCATTCTCTTCTAATTAAAGATTTTAAGTTCAAGTTTTGGGTATGAAATTAAAATTACATCATTTTTTTAATATATTAAGTAGAATTTTTAAATTAATTTAAGTGAGTTTTTATTTTATTTTAATCATATAAATCAATCAAAATTTAAAAAATCATTAAAAATATTTTAAAAATGACAAAAAAATTTTAGAATATTTAAAAACTCACTAATATAGTCTAATATACTAATGAAACAAATTGTTAAGCCATTTTATATAGTACTATTCTAATTTGACAAAAGCATATGAAGTAATTTCATAGCGGAATAAATAAAATAGAGTTTTCCATTTGTAAACATGATATTAAAAGCTTTTTTTTTTTTTTTTCCATTAGATAGTATGTATAAGTGGGTGTGCAAAACCACGGATCAAACCGAATCAAAAATCAAATTAGTCTATTTCGATTCGGTTCAATCAGTTATTTAAAGGAAATTCATTTTGTCGTTCTATTCGGTTTGAATCAATTTCATATAAATTCATTAGTTCAGTTTAAAATGGAGCTGACATAGTAAAAATAAATCAAAATTGACCAAACTATCTAATTCGATTCGAATCGATTTAATTCATGTCACTTTTGATTCAGTCTGTCGTCAAAAATTTCAGTTTGTATTTAACTTTGATTCAGTTTGGTTCAATTTGAACAAAGCCAACCGTTTGTTCAACCCTACAGCAGAATCTACGTATAATATGCACGCAATGCTGCAATTGAAGCAAACTTACACAATTACAATTTCAAATGCAAATTACATCAAAATTTGTCAAGAAATCTATTAATGGCGGTCGAACCCATAAGAAATAGAAGTACAATTACAAACATAAGTTAAAAAATGTAAAAGAGAGAGATAGAACCCATGACCAAAAACCTCACCTTAGCCATCTAGGCTTTATACATAAGATTTTTGATTGCAAATGCCAGTATTGTCATTACCTTCAATGTGAAGTATAAATTAGCTTCATTTTCAATTCCAAATTACTAAAATTAATGTATAAGATAATAACGTGACAATATTAATTATTAGTACAACATATATCATTAATATTACTTTAATAATATATAAAAATGTAGTAGAAAAATATAAAGGATACGTGTTTGGTCTAAAAATGTTTGGACTGGGTTTGTTAAGTATGCGTCTATCAGGCTTTGCCTTAGGTGCATGATGGGTTAGTGTAGGATAAGGTGTGCATTAACGGATCGTGGACTGCTGGTCCAAATAAAAGGAGATAGATAAAGAGATAGGGGGTGTAACGCCCCATTTTTCCTGTGTTTCAATAGTAATTTACCGGTATGTGAATAGTATCACCGGTCCGGAAGTTGGTATTATTTTTTGTCCAAAAAAATTACTATTTATGTTTTATATTTTATTTAACATTTTTTTGAGCATGTATGCATGTAACATTTTTTTGGAGCATGTATGGCATGCGTTTTTATGGGGTAGAAAGTAAGTAATGAATATTTTGGAGAATTTAGATAATTACGTGAAAAAGTGAAATTAATGGTGTATATTAAGTAAGGAAATTCTGAACATTATTTTTTATGAGAATTTGAGTAATTATTTTATAGAATAATTAGCAGAGTTTTGTGGAGATAAATAATATTTAAAGAAATTTAATTGGGGAGAAGATATTTGGAGAAAAGACCAAAATACTCCTTTAGTTGCTTTATTTAAAGGCCAACCATCAGATTATTGAGCAAACAAATTTTCCTTCTTTCTTATCCTTACACGTGTTCCTCCCTCCTCCTTCTTCTTCCTTAATTTTCTTCAATTCCTTACTTAGTAAACATTAGAAAACAATCAAATTCACCCCCATCCAACTTGATTTAAGCTCCTAATCTAAGAGAGTGAAGCTAGAGAAGTCAATTTTGGTTACTAATTCAAAGGAATTTGGTGATTTTCCCAACTTGGGTCAAGTAAAGTTGATTTTATGATAATCTCATATTTTTGGGTTTCGAGTTGTCTTTTAGCATATACATGCTTAATTCATGCTCCAATTACTTCTTTATTTGTTTTCTTTGGTTGATTTTGATTCTTACATGTAGAGGGTGGGAGACACGCCTTCTACACCAACCCGCACCCGAATAAGGCAAGACAAAACTTGAGAAGCTTTGGATTAAAGCTTTGGTTTTGAAGGTAGTGTTCATTAAACCACCACTTTTACCTTACTTCAAAATTTTTGATTTTGTGCCCTTAATGTCTTATTGTGAGTAATTTGTTGGGATTTTGTATGAAAATGATTGATTGTTGAATTTGTTTTGCAATACATGCTCTGGATGATGTGTGTGATGAGTATATTTATGTTGGTTGTGTAGACATTTCTACCTTTGTATTTTGTTGTCATGTCCTTTCATGGCCTAAAGTAAACTTGAAATTGGGAAAAAAAAAAAAAAAAAACGGTTATTGAGTGAGATTAATGAACCATTTTTGGAATTCCTTTTAAGTTTCCATTTGTGTCTGAGTCCTTTCATAAAAAAGTTTGTAGGTCTATCTTTAGCTTTCCCCAACCCATCGCCTCTATGTTGTCCAAATTGGAGATATATAAACTCACTTATGGCTGTGAAAACAGCCCAAACTGACTCCTGTTTGTGTCGGGCACATGATCACTGAATTGAGTGCCCCATTTTGGACCACATAATGACAAGATAGGTTCTGAAGTTCTTCATAAAAGTTGTTCCCTATCTTGAGACTTCCTCTTCTAGATGGTTTATTTGAGTTGTTTGGTAGTAGAGAATTCAAATAAAACATTGGATGGGTTCTGCGTGAATCAGGTCTGGTTTCTGTAGTCCTGTGTTCTAGCTTTGTTTTGTTTATCTTCCATATTGATCTGGGCTGTGATTCCTTCATAACATTTGTAGAATTTTGTCCATTAACTTTTTAATGACTCTGATTTCATTTAATTTTGGAGACCCTTAACTCCAAGGTTATGTGTAAAAACACAACGCAAAGGTCAATGTTACTTTTTATGTTGGAAATTTTCTATGTTAAGTCATTTTGTTTAAGTATGAGGAGAATTGAAAGAAAAGGAAGAAGAAGAAGAAGAAGAAGAGGGAGGAGGAGGAGGAGGAGGAGGGAAACATGTAAGATAAGAAGAAGGAAAATTTTGTTGCTTATAATGATGGTTTGCCTTTAATAAAGGCAAAACTAGAGGGTTATTTTTGCATCTTTTCTCCAAATATTCTCCAATTTAAATTCCTTTTTCAAAATATATTTATCTCCACAAACTCTCTAATTTATTCCATAAAAATAATTTCTCAAATTTTCTCCATAAAAATCAATTGCTCAAATTCCTTACTTAATTATAAACACCATAATTCACTATTCACTTAATTATCTAATTTCTCCAAAAATATCCTTACTTACTTCTACCCATAAAAACCATGCATAACATGCTCAAAAAATGTTAAATAAAATATAAAACATAAATAGTAATTTTTCAGACAAAAATTAATAACCAACGGTTCCGGACCGGTGTGTACTATTCACAGACGGTAAACTACTATTAATTGAAAACACAGGAAACGGGGCGTTACAGCTCTCTCCCCCTTAAAGAATTTCTTTTCCTCGAAATTCACCTGAATTAAACAACTGAGGATGTTGTTGTCTTCATAATATCTTCACTTTCCAGGTAGCTTCTTCCGGTCTGATGTTTCTCCAAAGAACCTTTACCAAAGGAATTCTCTTCTTCTTTAGTTCCCTTGATTTCCTAGAATATCTCACTGCGTCTTCCTCATAAGTTAAATCTGGCTCTATAGTCACAGATTCTCACTGATATTACATGTGATGGTCGAACCGAAACTCCCCAACATAGATACGTGAAAAAACATTATGTACCTATCCAGGTCTGGGTGGTTAAAGCTAGTTCTATTAGGGCTAATTGGACCCACGGGGCGGACTTCATCTCCATTTTCATTCAAGGGGTGATATCTATTATCCTTATTGGTTTCTTAGCCTTTTTGGCTATGCGTTGTTTACACAGAACATATGAAAGTTCTTTACCCTTACTTTTTCTCGTCATTTCTTAATTAACCACCATTGCATACTTTCTGCGCTAATACCTGGAATTCTCATTTATATTTATAGGAGTCTAACCTCTACAATCGATGAACCTGAGACAAGCCTATCCCTTCTGCTCCAAATGCCTTCAATATCTTTTTCTTGGATATTCCCAATGGTAAGATATCACTTATAAGTATATATGCGATAAAACTCTATTATTACTCCACTTTCATCACTGTTGCAACTAACTTCTGACTATATATCGCGAATATACCTCTTGCAATTAAATTTCCGGCCATTAATAATAGATTATTATTATCTGACTTGAAGTTCTGAATAGTTCTGCCTTTTACATATACAAATTATCGTCATGAAAATTGTACTTTAGAGCCTTTTGGCCTCATGATGAGCAAATGATCGAAGGCCACCGACCGTTTGTATTCTTTCACTATATTGCCATAACTTACCATCTGCCCTCACTTAATTCTGACCAACACAGTGAGTCC